AAAGAAGAAGAGCTGGAGCTGCTGTATGACTGGGCATTGCTGAATGTGTCTGGGAACACTCTCCACTTTGACTGCACAGGCAGGACACGAGGACAGCCAGGTCAAGACATACATCTTCGTGGTGTCATTCCACTTTGAAGCCTTGTCAGAATCCCATTCGGTTCTGTGCTTCTTTGTTGAGTGAAAGGCAATTTTTGTCGTGGAGGCTATCCATGAGTCACAGAGAAGACAGGTGTTGGTGAGCTGGCGGCCCAATCCGCCGGTGATGAGCGCCAGGAAGGTCTGATCACCGGCCTGTTGCTGCAGTTCCCTACGCATGCGTGAGATTAGCGGAGCCGAGTCTAATTGTAGGGTTAGCTGCGCAGGAGCTTCGGCATCCTGCGTGGCAGCTTCAGGTTTAGCCAGCTTAAAACCGTCTTGCCTGCAAACTCTGCGCTCACGTGCTGCTGTAGATTGTGCCAGTTTTTGAACCTCACATTGCAGTTGGAGCACTGAGGCATGCCTCCTACTGCGTGTTTGAGGCGGGAGAACTCAACAGGCGGCAGTGGCGGGGCCGGATGCTTGACTGTCCGATGCGTTCGCAATCCAGCCGCAGAGCCTTGCCACAGCAGGTGCGCATCAGTGCATGGGCACATCTGGGGATGGATCATCCTCAGCCCCTGTGATTAATCTGCAGTATGATTCCACAATCTCCTCTGCCTTTTTTTCATGTGGAGGGTATTGTTAGAATATCCTCGTTCGGCCAGGCACCAAGCTGAGCATTCGACGGAGGAGCAGAGGTGGCTGATGTGGAGCAGGAGGTGACCTCACAGGCTGGCACGGTATGCAGTCTCTTGCGAAGAGATTCTAGGCGCTGGGCTGAACGATCATGGAGTTGCTGCAGTGGGGGGATTACCTTGAGGCGAGTGAACAACGCGGCAGTAGTTTCACGTGTCTTGTGGACGGGGTTGCGCGTGACTGCCCGCACTTGTCTGGCGTGCCATGAGCGAAGGGCCCTTCCTCCCAGAGAGGCCGACAGACTCCAGGCCGAAAGTTGCGGTGGACCAGACGGTTGCTCGCCATACCAGCAGCCTGGATGCAGTCTTGGTCTTGCGTTTGTTGTGAACGAATTTGCGCACCGTTTGTTTCTTCTTCTCGGCTCTCTCTTGTCTCAATGAGAAAGTGAGGTCCTCTGGGTTGGAGAAGCTGACCATGACCCCTAAGTACTTGAAGGAATCCACAAGTTCGAAGGAAGGAAGGGGGGAAAAGGAGGGAAGAGCATCGGAGTGGGAGAGAAGGACAGGTCTCTTGGGCTGCTTTGGAGCATCAATATTCCAGACCGTTACTTTCCGTCCTGAGCGAACCTCTTGCGACTTGAATATTCGCTTGGCTTGTTTTGCTTGGCGTCCTGCCAATTTGACCATTATGTTGCACTTGCCATAGTTTACCTCTAGCCCGGCTTCCTGTAGGCAGTACAGTAGCAATCTGACCATGTCGTGTGCAGCGTAGAGGTCGGACCAGCTGTGCACATCCCGATGGATGACTAAATCATCAGCAAAACCGGTGAGGACTTGCTTTATAGGGGGGAACCCTATGTGGGTTGCTATCAGCCGGAATGTCTCTGTGATCACTTGATTCCTCTGGTTGAAGTGACTTGGTCTTGGCTTCTGCCGTGCTTCAGGTTATATTGTGCCTCCCTATGCAGAGATGCCACTAGTTCTACATCCTCAGATGAGGCGCAAAAGGGCTTCCCGGCTTGTTTTGTCAAAAGCCTGGGAAAGGTCCAGTGAGAAGGTAAACCCTCCAATCAGGTCAGGTTTTTTTGTGCCTCCTTTTGACGATCTGAACCTGTCTGGTGCGCGGGAGCGAAGGAGAGCTCTGACACGCTTGGCATGGCCGATGACGCGTAGTTGGGCATCTGCTATTCCACGTCCTGGGATGTAGGCAAATTGAGGTGAAGCAAAGTGGGCTTGCTTAAAGAGAGGATCAAGTCGTCGCCTTGCTTCTGAGGCTATGCCTTTACCGTCCGGGCGTATTATGCCAATTATGCCCAGTGGTCTTAGATTCTCTTTTTCCAGCGAAGGGCGAGCTGCCTGCCCGGAGGGCTTAGTTACGTCGGCTACGCGAAGCCTACGCGCAAACTGTACAAGCGCAACTACCCCTTGACCTACAGACCTACGGCAGCGTAGATTACCCTGGGCGCCCCCAGCAGTGCGGCAGGAGGGTCTCAGGCTCACAGCCAGAGGCGTCCTCTCTGCGCATCTCGGCATCAAGCGCGCATCAGCGATGTGGGTTGCGGAGGATTTTGAAACGAGCGTCAAGAATCCTGCAGCAGCGTAGATTACCCTGGGCGCCCCCAGCTGTGCAACAGGAGGGTCTACAGCCAGAAGCGACCTCTCTGCACTCTTAGCATCAAGCGCGCGTCAGCGATGTGGGTTTCGGAGGGTTCTGAAACAAGCGTCCAATCTCAAAGAGTTTCCAAAAGTGTCCATTTCGGCCCCCTTTCAAGCATTTCGCGTTCATGCCTTCCCCCCTGCCGCCCGTTGGGAGCTGCCCAAACCGCCTAAAGGAGCCGAAATCCGATGCTGGTGGGGGGGTTCCAAGCTGTGGGCTCCTCCCACCGAGACCTAACGATACACTCAAAATGTAAGAGCTTTGCCAAATTCATCCACAATCTGGTGGTATGCAGCCAGTGCCAGTAGTCAAGAGCTCGAGGCTTGCAAGAAACCCAGGCATGGCTCGTGACTACAATGCCATCTTAGGACACACTACAAAAGTAGCACATCGCGCGTTCGATCTGGAGCGCAAAACTGAAGCGAGGACCCATTTTCAACTAGGACAGCTTCATGCAATCACAGCACACACTGCCCAGATTGCAAGGCTGTATATAGGAAGGGACACGCAACCACAACGCACTTTCTGAGATCCAAACCCGTCTCTTGCCTCTTGTGGGAAGACTCTTAGTGAGCACCATTGAGCACCTGTAGGCCAACATGGGCTTCTTCGGAGTGCCAGCTCAAGCCGCATTCACCACATACAATACGGTGCCTTCTGCAGGTGGACAATTTTTCGAGACCCCACCTCTTTGTTTAGGGGTGTTTCTTTGGCCCAGTTCTTGTCCGAAAAGGTTGGTTCATGAGAAAAATGTCCAAAACGAAGGGTCGTACATGCAATACATCCATGCACTTCCTGCTCTAGCCTTGTCCGACCTTGTCCAACTTATTCCTTTGTTTGATGGGTTCCGGGAGTTTTGCAGATGTGTTCCATAGTCCAAAGAATTTTTCCACAACATGTTTTTGCATCGTGGTTGGACTACTGTATGGTGCTTTCTTGGTGCCTTATGTGCCTTAAAGCAACAACTTAGCTTGTCTGGCATGCTACCATTAGCCGCAATGGAATGTTGGCTCCAGTTCTAGCAGGCCTTTCTTGAACTTGCTGTTTCAAGCGTCTTGTCTTAGACCCATTGTCAGTTCGTTTCATGGTGAAGTTGCAACGGCAGTGTCAGTGCAAGTTTGCGCATGGCTTCAGTGAGTTTTGTCGTGCAAGGTTCGTTGATCAACAACTGTCCGTGCACATACTACATGCTACTTTGGGACAGCATTTGGTCACATTGTTCCAGACTCTTCGCGAATGTGTTTTGCTGCATAGTACCGTGCCTGCTGATCAGACTGTTTTGTGTCAATGCATGCAGGTTCCTCTTTCCCGTGACCATCGCTTGTGCTGCTGTAGGTTCGCTGGGTGTAAGCGTGCCGCTGATTTGCATCAAGTGTGTGTGTGTGTGTTTACATTTATGTCATCGGACACCACAGGATTCCCAAAGACATGGTTGTTTCTGCATTTTCATTAGATGCAAGGACAACGTCAATTGGCGCCGATGGCAGCATCATGGACACGCCAAGTTCGCAGCTACTTCGGAGCCAAAGCAAGGCCACATCTACGGGGCGTAGTTGCCACATATTTGATTTTTTGTTGTAGTTGGTCCTGGTGCCGGTTCAGCAAAACCTTGCTCAGGTGAACGCTGCCACGTCCGAGGTGTTATGTCAAGGCGGCGACTTGTGCCTCGAAGGAAGCAAGTTCGAGTTGGCGAAGTGCTTGAGGTGTTGTGATGTGTTGTGTTGCTGCAGAAACGTGCATGGCGGATCCAATCAGCTCAAGTACCTCGCTGGATGTCAGGTGCGTCACGAACAAATGTGATCAGCGGATATTTTTGTCCGTAGCTTGCCCGCAGATGATGCCGAGGGTTGTTTCTGCGGCATGCTGCGGTGGTGTGCAAGTTCCACCCAAAAAGTTCGGACCCAAAGCTTGTGAACATGAGCTTCTTAACAATTGAGCTTCAGCGAGGCCCAGTGCATGGCCACATCGGAGGGGGTGGAAGCTTGTCCTGGATCGCAGGTGCCCAGGGCGGTTACGGTTCAAGACTTTACACAGTCTGCAGTCAATGTAGTAGCGTCTTCCTCTGCCACAAAGGTGTGCACGGACAAATCATCAAAAGGCAAGACTGCTGCACCATTGCGGGTTCTTGACGCCATTTCCCTGTATGATTCTGCAGATGCGGACGGCAAAGTTCTGGTACAGTTCAAGTGCTGCTGTCCGTCTTGCCAGAAAAAGGATGCGGAGAGCGATTCGGCCGCACTGGGCCGCACTCCGTGTGCTTAATGTGGTCATAGTCCCAATTGCCCGCTCAATATCATCAAACATGACACCTTCACACAAGGCACTGGATGAGGAAGATACGATCAACGGAGCCTTTGCGACACAGAAAACGTGTTTGCCCAGTGTTTATGGATATGACCTGATTCAGGCTTGGCCGGAGCATCTGCTCCTTGTGACGATGTGTCCTCATCCTGTGCATCGGCATTTAAACTCGAGCCCGCTGGAGTGTAGACTTAACAATCGCTGTAGCGACTTCATGCATTTTGACGACTACCAAACGCCAATCTGCATGACCGATTGACGGAACTATCAAAGTCTTCATCAGAAGTTCGTTTTATTTGTGAGAAGCTTCCGTGAAGAGCCGTGCGATGCTTCGTTGCCATGTGCTGGGGGCTCTCACATACATCGCAAGACAAGCAGCAGCCTTCGATTGCAGTCAGGTGGATCGATCGACGCCACTGGCAGTTTGCTGTGATGCGCAATCGGCGTGGTCATCGATGGAGTCTGCTGGAGGTTGTGGCGGCCAAGGTGCCACATCAGAGCAGTGCTCAGCAGCATCAAACTTGTGTCGGCAATGTCGGATGGCTGTTGCCTCCCACACAGACGAGACGGGGAGCAGTGCCGCAGAAGGGACAAATTTGTCATCCCTGGATGTAAGCTTTCTGGAGGTGCACTGCGTGTTGCCTCAATGGCAGGACTCATGCCACTCTGTGGCTGACCTAGGGTTTGGAGTGCTGCTGGTTGCGGGGGGCATCCTGATGCTCGTGGCAACTGGCGGGCTCTTACTGTTTGACTGGCGCGCTCTGCCTTGGATGGTGTCACGAGCCGGGATGCAAGCGTCGGACGCGCAGTTTCCGACCCCGTGGCCTTCATCTCCTTCACGTGCGGAGAAAGTTGGCCAGCAGCCATCCCAGATTCCCAAATCCGAGAAATGTGACGTGAAAAGTGTAGGGAGGCATGTGGGAAGCATGTGGGAAGGCTTTTGCTGCAGTGACTGCAGTGCAAGGCCGAGGCTAGAACGGGGCAGCCTTGGTCCAGCACCGAGTGAATCACTAGAATACAGTGCCAAGAAGAATCGGAAAGTGTAGGAGGAGTGAGGACATGGCTCATGGCTCATGGCTCATGGCATCGACATGGCTCATGGGCCTCAGGAGTTTCAGATGCTTTGCGTTTGGCTGCTGCAGTTCCAGAGATGCCACGGAAGCAGGGAGGCGCTTGGCTGCCAGGTCAAACGAGTTGTCTTAGTTGTGCACCCCGTCTGCATGTTTCAGGCATGGCGCTCGCGTGGGCGCTTCGCCGCGTGTTCCTTCTCATAGCCTTCACTGCTGTTGTGCTCCGCTTGGCAGCAGTCCTGGAGCAAAATTGATGTGAAGCTCCTCCCGGCTACGAGCACGTTTAGGGGCTGTTGACGCAAAACGCGCGTGAGGCCATGACCATAGCCTTTCTGACCCTACTACCCGGACCCAGGCAACCGCTTTAGAAGACAATCAGAGCCTCAGCTTTCTCACCACGGAAATCTGCGAGAGGGTTTTTTTGTGCATTTGAGCACCGCCCGCAGGCAGGGGTTGATGGGCACGTTAGAGATCGTCCTGTGCGCACTCCCGCTCCTATGGTGCGCCGGCCGCTCAAGTGCTGGTCGAAAAAAAGCTTGCAGTTGCATGCATTTGTTTGCTTGTTCTTTGTCCCAGGCGGTTTCCTCACGGCAGTCTTCAGAGGGCGTGCAGACCTAAAAAGCAGCAAAGGGGCGATGCGCTGCTAGGCTCGGTTTCGATTCAGGCTCCTTTGGACATTGCCTTCTGGGGTCCGGGTCGGAGGCCTTTGCGTGTCAGCGGAATTTACAGGTTCACAGGTTCATGGTTTCCACTTGTGTTTTTTCGACGCTCGCCAGGTGCCCAAGATTTACGACGTATGCGGTGCTGACTGTTGGCACCGAGTTGCATCTGGCCTCCATATGCCTCAATATGCCTCAATGTGTACTGACATGAGTGGACCAGGCCCAATAGGCTCTTGTGTCGGGCTCTCGAATGCCCTCAGGTACAGCACTCTGGCGCCTGGCTGTCGGTTTCTTTTCGCCGCACGCAGTCCGCCTCGGCCCGCTTGCTTGGCCAAAGGCTACCATTCCTGGGCAAAGCAACCACCATCTGCATGATTTGCACGTTTGAGGTGCAAAGTGTCCCTTAAAAGAGCTTTTTGAGGACCATTTGCTCTCAAGGCTGCCAACGTGCCTAAGGCATCCATAACATGCCACAGACCAGTGGGTGGGTTTGCCAGACTGCGGGGCACATGCACGGGAGAATTGCGGTTGCGGGGAGGGGATGAGTGGGGGGTGGCATGTTGGCGGGGATATCCTGCGCTGGCTTTTCAACGCCCCGTGGGCATCCGGATGCCATATGAGGCAAATTCTGAGGCACATTCATGGAGTGCTGATTAGCTTGCAGGTGCTCTCGTACGCTGTTGCCACTGCTCCATGTGATTTTGCAGCATGGAAGCCAGCAACGGCAGCGACCACAGACTTGCGGAAATACGTGGCTGTTCATGTGTTCTGGTCGTATGAGTCTTCTTCTTCTGCAGTTCTATTGCGCTGGAGTCCTGGTGGCGGTCGTGAGATGTTATTCTGCGGTGGTTGTCCGTTCCTAAGTACCAGACACGACAGTTTCCTGTCATCTTGTCGTTACCTTCGATGGGCCGTGGACGATTTTCCATTGCATGTCAAAGGCCTTGAGGCTTCAAGATGCAGCAGCCGGTGCCTGCCGCAGGGTTCTCCCTCAGGCCGCAGTAGCACGTGCAGGATCTTGCAGGCATGCAGCATTATGCACATTTGTGCACCATCATCACCTCTGCATGGTTTGCTGAAAGGACGGCTGTGATCTCGAGCCCGTAGCTGAAGGCAGCGGTTCACCTGTCAGACAAAAGCATCTGAAAAACATCGCGGGCAATTGGTGAGCAAGATTGAGCAAGTCAGTAAACACCGAGAAGCATGCAAGGAGACATTCAATGCAACATCGACGACGAGGACCCGTTGCATGCCAAATGGATAGTGGCGCTCTTCAATGGGTTCAAAGTGCTTGTTGTAGCAACCTTGTGTTGCCATATGCGGATTGGCATGCTTTCACAGTCCTGCAGCTACTCTGACACTGTCGCGCATGTCAGCATGTCAGGGACCGCGCCCCATAATGTGCCGAACAAAGGATGTCAACTCAGATATAAGCATCTGTGCATCAGCTCGTCTTTCGGAAGCACTTTCCTTTGTATTCGCTGTGCCTCCAGTTTCCAATCATGGAAACCGACGATGCTGCCTTTGACTCTACAGACGAGGTTCTGACAGACGAGATCCTTTTTTCTTCACTTAGACAGGCACTGCCCCCTCCCACTCTCCAGAACAGACTCCTGGCTCTTCTCTTGTTTGTCGAAGAAAGGTTGAGTGGAGCAGGAATTCAGTACTGGGTAACTGGCGGTACCCTTCTCGGCGCTGTGCGTCACATGGGCTTCATACCGCATGACGATGACTTGGATATCGAGTTGTTGGCAGAGGATCTGCCTCGAGCGCAGGAGGCACTGGGCGAAATAGGTCGAAGCTTTCGTGGGCTTGGCCACTGGCCCGGAAATGATGGAAGCAATGTGGCTATGGGCCGGTTCTTTTGCTGGGGAAAGGATGGGCGCTTCTCCGAGTCTGTTGATGTGTTTCTGCGGGAAAATCGGCCTCTCAAGAAGCTCGCAGAGTTTCCATCTGATGACGAGGTTTTCCCATTGATCCGAGTTCGATTTCATAATCTGCTGCTTCCAGCTCCCCGGAATGCTGCAAGCTTCCTGTCTCGTTGCTACGGGAGCAAGTGGGCCAGTGAAGTGGTGGTTTGGGGCCACTCGTCTCGCGCACGAAAGCTGCTCAGAGTAGCATTTGCCCGGTACCTGACGGCTGTCCAAGCAGCTGGCTATCAGGCGCCTTGCGTTCTAGCTGCCGACTCAGCGGCAAAAAGCTTGTCTGCTGTAGGTCTAGATAGCCAAGACAATCTGCAAGAAAAGTTGTGGAATAGTTTGGGCTGGGCCTCGCCTCTGCCTCTGGACTGGCATGATGGGGACGATGATTCGGTGGACGCATTGGCGGTGCTCGGACTGGAAGTGCAGTACTGGCCGTTACATAGTGAAGGCCTCGGTCGTGAGCTGCAGGACTGGCTTGACTCATTGGATCAAGATGAACAGATCAGGGCCCTGAAGCAAGTTGAATCTCGCACAGGATGCTTTGTGGAGCTGATTGGTGCAAGTCAGACGGATAAGGATACTCAGGGTACAAGGGACAGCAGAAGCTGCGGCCCAGAGTCGTCCTCGAAAGCAAAGGCTCTCAGAGCCGTTGGCTCAAGTTTCGAGCTTTCAGCTGTCGAACCTGCCTTCCGTGAGCTGTTGTGTGGTTGCACGAAAGCGCAGAACGCCTTACACTGCCTTACGCGCCTTCAGAGCGTTTAGTGGTGGCCTAGATTCTTAGATTCTTAGATGCCGTATGTAGCAACATGTCTGCTCCGACGTGCCACTTCAGGAGCTAGCCGATGGTGCCAGTTCTCTGCAGCAGGCACAGCATTGGCGTCAAGCACGTCTGCGCAATCTCGAACTTCCATCATGAAGCTAACGCCATATCGCTAAACTGATGCTGAAGTTGCACTGCAAGTCTTGCAAGCACGTGATTTGGGGCCTCAATTAGGGCTGAGCAGAGCAGCGGAGGGGTAAGGCCAGAACGTTGAAGTAGATTCTTACGCCATGGACATTGATCAGCCTCTTCAGGAAAGGAGGCAGTACTTGAGTGGATTCGCCTGGAGAAGGCCTGTCCCACTTCTGGCGGATTCGACGAATGAAAATGCGTCGCTACAAGAAACTGGTGCAAGTGTGCTGTACCTGCTGGACTTCATGCAGAAGGTTGAGGTATTCCAGAACCTGTCCGAAGATGAGATGCTTCAGCTGGCACAAGCCTTCAGCATACGCGACGCGACAGATGGGGAGAGATTGGTTGAAGAGGGCGAGGAAGGGAGTGAGCTCTTCTTTATTGAGTCAGGCACAGTCTCGATTCGTAAGGCAATTGAGCAAGCGGGCGAGCGCAGCGAGCGCGAGCTGACGAAGCTCAGCCAGGGCCAGTACTTTGGAGAGACTGCTTTGGTGGAGAAGGCACCCCGAAACGCATCAGTGTATGCTCTGGGAGAGGTTCGTCTTCGAGTCCTCACGAGGGAACACTTTGAGAAGTTCGATCTGCATAGGAAGTTACATTTGGAACTGAAGCATGCGGATACAAGAAATGGATTGCAGGAGCTCCTTGTAGGTCTAGTAACCCTCCGGACTTTTTTCAAGGCAGTGGCTTTACTCGGAGCCTACCTAGCAGTGGCTGTCCTCATCTTTTCAAAGCTTGAAGGATGGAGTTGGGTTGATTGCGTGTATTTTGCGGTGATAACTCTGATGACCGTGGGCTATGGTGACTTTGCTCCAAAGCATTGGGGCTCGCGGCTGATGCTCGTATTCTTTGTCTTGATCTCGCTCGTCGTTGTTGCAACAAGCATCGGTGAGTTCTTGGAAGGCCTCGTGACACTAGAGATCCGAAACGAGCGTGCACGAAAGGCTTTGCAGCTCAAGCAAGCCCACGTCGGAGTCTTCGATAAGGTGGGGCAGAAGAAGCGCTGGCGGCAAAAAGCGCTTGGATGTTTGGCAGCCCTCTTCACCTTGCTTGCCGTCAGTTCAGCGGTTGCGCGAACTGCGGTGAAAGACTGTCAAACATGGGCTGATGCGCTCTATTTCAGCATTGTTACACTGTCCACGATTGGATACGGTGACCTGACTCCGATGGCCGAGCCTGGTAGCAGAGCAGCAATTGGAACCATGGCTGGAACAAGTTCGAGCGGCTTTTGCTTTTTTCATGAGGTTCAGGCTTTGCGCTAGCTAGCAACGGAAGCAGGACGCTTGCCACCCAGAAACACTGGCACACAATCCAAGGGATGGTTAAGACCATGGGTTTTGAATTGGCATGAAGGTGAGACCCTCGATCCGTCAAGGGATAGCAACACACACGATTCTGAGCACGGCTGAGGATTTCTGGCCTTGATTGGGGTGCCTGTCTTTGGTATCGTGCTGGCCAAGATCGTAGAGATTGCATATGGGAGAGCCAAGAGCAGCAGCATGCCATGTGTGGTTGGCGGACTTACCAACGAGAAGTTTGACCAGTTGGTCGACTTCACTGACCGGCTCTGGCGTGCTGGAGGCCTCCACCACCCCAGCAGCATGTCAACGCAGGGTTATGTATATATGTATGTATATATATATATATAGTTTTATGGGGTGCTTCCAGCCTGCTTGATGGACGCAGTCACGAAGTAGAGAGTTGTCTTCCTTCCCGAAAGCAGCCGACACAAGGGTAAACCTTGGCCAGTATCCCTCACTGGTTCAACTGCTTTTGAGAGCTTCGAGCCATTGTTGCAGGATACAACTCCCATCCCCAACAAAGCCTGCGAGAGCAGATCACTCCCTTCGAGTTCCTGTGCTTTATCCTTACGCAGAGCGAGACGGTGTCCTTGGACGAGATCAAGCTGATCATGGCGAACTTCTCTGAGCTTGACTTGACGAGAACGGGCCTGCTGGAACAGCAGGATGTGGATGAATGGTTGAAGCGAGGCTCTTGCAATCCTGACGGCCTCAGTGTGTCTCCCCGAAAGAGCAGGAGCAGGAGGTTTTCTTTAACTGCTCAATCCACAGCCAGTTCCAGTTCCGGAGTCTTGAGTTTCTCTCCATCTTGACTGGAACACCTGCATCTCTTCACAGTCTCAAAGTGCTCACTCAGCCAGCCAATCACAAAGTGACTTGGCTCACAGTTGTCGGTGCCTCAGAAGCAAACTGCGTATACTGCGTTGACCGGGGGAGGGGTGCATGGACTTAGGGGGGGTCGAATGTGCTTTTCTGCTAATGTGTGCTGCCACACAAGTCATTGTCTGTTGTGGAACTCATCGATGTCTTCGCGGGACAGGCTGATGAGAGAGCCAGGCAAGTCGAAGCTGCGCTGTGTCATCAGTCTTCCAGTGTTGTGAAGTGCTTATTGAATTCTGCGTGGGGTGCAGATGCTGTCAGGTGCTGTTGGGGGATGGCATGGAATGCTCCTGTCAAAAAGGCACATGGGGTGCACTCGAAGACAGAAGTCCTTCGGGTCCTTCGGGCAGCCTGAGCAGGAATGGCAAGAGCCGGTGCAAGAGTTGGAGTTGGATGCAGCTCCCATGGCTTGCTCTTGCTTGCCTTCAAGATGCTGCCCGGTGGGGGAGTGGAATGCGTTAGGCCGTTAGGCATCACTGGGGTCCTCAATGGTCGCGGCTCAGCTCGAGGTCACCAGAGAGAGGCTCTTAGGGCGACGGCTGCTGATCCGTGTCCAGTCCTTGGCGTATGTGATTGTGCGGGCATCAGCATGATGAGGCGTCATGAGGCGTCTTGATGTATGTGCCAGGTCGGTTTGGCATTGGCACTTGTTTCTGCTGTGGCTTCGGCCGTCATTGTACGAGCAGTAGTGGCTGAGGCTTGCTGTTGATGTTTGAGTTCGCGGCCATTTGCCGCCCCTGTTTGGTGGGGTTCGGACAGGAACCTGCTCCTGTGCCGCCATCCTCATGCGGGGTTGCCCGCAACTCGACGACTACTTGCCGGAGACTCAAGTATACTGGCTAAATAAAAGGTTTGTTGGATATGATTTTCTGATTCCCGCAGGCGTTCCCTGGCGCTTGGCAGGGATTCATCTCGTTGATCATAAAACCGGCACGCCCCTTAGCTTTCAGGCAGCTGGGCAACCAGCTGGGTGAGGGCGTTCTGGTTTTCTCCAAGACAATGTACAGGTGAGCTGCAGATGGACTTGACCAACACGCTGGAGGTTTGCCCAATGTTTGCCCACTGCAGCGAACGCGTGAAATGACAGCCATCGCGTGGTGGTCAGGAGTGCTGCGAAGGCTGTGATGGTCTTGCGGATTGCCAAGCGGGGTGCCCATGTTGGAACTGGACTGTAGCACGCCGTCGAGGATGTAGAGATGTCACTGTGAGCTCCTGTGAGTCATTTTTTGTCGAAAGTTTTACGTGTGAATTGCCTGCCGTGTTCATGCAATCTGCTGGCGGCCCTGTTTTCCCCAATCATCCCCAACGACGGGAGACACGAGATTCAGAGACCGGAGGCGATCCGAAACCAGGATTCGGGAAACGAGGATTCAGGAAACTCCGGCGATTCAGGAAACTGTGATTCAAGAACTCGGCAGTAAACTGTCCGATTCAGGAAACCGACTTCACGCGATTCAAGAAACCGCGGCTCAGGAAACCAAGCGATTCAAGGAGCTGGTTTCTGAGTGTTTTTGATTCAGGAAGCCACATGATTCAGGAGCAGGGGTGCTTCAGAAAACTTTGCGGTTTTTAGAATCCGCGCTTTCCAGTTGCCTGAAGTGGTTCGTTCTGGTTCGCTCAAGCCATTTCGCCCAGTTCCTCGGTGCCCGGATCCTCACGGTAGCTTCTTCTTCCCTTGGATGGTGCGCATCGCAGATGTAGAGAGGGAGGCCTTCCTCGAAGAGGACGACGTGCCCGTTGCAGCGCAGAGTGCGCGGCAGCCTTTCTTTCAGAGGATCCGCTTTCAGGTGGCGATTTCATTGTGTTTTGTGGCATTCGCCACAGCCGGCATCGCGCTCGGAACTCGTGCAGACAAAGCCCTACTGGCAGCTGTGGAAGCAAGCGCCGAGAAGTTCAGCTCAGCCGCCTCAGGCAAGTTGATTGGTGCTGTTTGGAGCGGTGATGTGGACATGGCCAAAGAGCAACTGCAGCACGGAGCAGATCCGGACACCAAAGATGGCCATGGTGGCTCGGCCCTTTGGATCGCGCTGTCGTATCATCACAACGCGCTGGCAAAGTTGCTTCTTTCGCATGGGGCAAGCGTAGATGATCCGGTCCTTCTCCGATGTGCTGTGGTCCAGGACGCTGACTTAGAGGTGACCACGCTTCTGCTGACCAAGGGAGCAAAGTACGCCAACGTAACACTGCGCGAAGCTGCGAACCGAGGCAATGTTGCGGTTGCAAAAGTAGCTCTGGGAAAAGGTGCACAGGTCGTTGCTGCTGATGATGACGGCGAGACTTCGTTACATCACGCTTTTGGCTACGACTGCTTTGTTACCTGCTCTAATGGAAACTCCAAGATGGTGAAGCTTCTTTTGGCGAACGGAGCGCAGGTAGATGCTACGGATCACGATGGCCAAACAGCCTTGCACAAAGCTGCTGTCAAGTTTACCGATTATGATTCTGATGGTGCAATGCGGAGTGTAGAGCTGCTCCTAGCACACGGGGCGAAGATAGATGCCAAAGACAAGGATGGCCGAACCCCATTGCACGAAGCTGTCCGCAAACAGCACCTGAGATTGGTGAAATACCTGCTCAAGCAAGGAGCCTCGGCCAGCGCCTCCGACAAGGAGGGCCTCACGCCATTGCATGATGCTGCTTTTAGCTTTCGGACTTGGGCAGCGGATGATTCTATGGAGATTGCCAAGTTGCTTGTGGCTAGTGGGGCCGAGATTAGTGCTAAGACAGAGAAGGGCACCACACCCTTGGACTTTGCCAAGAAAGCAGACGCGCCGAAGACTTTGGTCAAGTTCCTCACGGCAAAGGCAGGCTAATGCCAGCTCTTGCCCAAGTTTTGGTTTCTCCTCCAACCCCCCAATCCCCCATCCTTGAACATGTTAACTAGGGGATCCATAGATTGCGGCCACCTCGCTATTTACGCTGTCGTTTGGAGCTTGGCGAAACCTGCAATTCAGAGTTGCACGCGATGGCCGGTGGCAGCCTGACCTGAAGCACTACGTTTACGTGCTTTTGCTGTGTTTGCTGGCACTACATGGGTGTGCCTGCTTTCCTTTAGGGAAAGCTACGTGTTTTCATGGTCCTGAACGAGCCGTCGAAGGACCGTGTTTCTGATGCGTTGGCAGAGAACTGCCCAGGCTACCCAATCGAGATGCTCGTGGAAGGAACACATTCTGCTCCGTGCTTTCCTTTCCCGTGCCACGTAGTTCCAGTTTCCGAATCCGCGCTTCATCATTTTCCAGTTTGAAGAATCGCATGATTCCAGTTTTCGAGTCCATGCGTTTTCAGTTTCCGAATCCGCTGCTGACCAACCTGGGAATGTCTATCCTGCTGCACGCACGGACCGACCGTTTGAAATAAGGCCTGGATTTTCGAGCGTGTGGCAAAGCGCATCGCTCTCAGTGGGCCGAGTACTCTAGCTGCTTTGGAGAGAGAGGTTGCTGAAGTAACTGGGATGCGGCTGGGACCTCGTGCGTGTTCCTGGAATGTGCCGAGGATGTCGGTGGATTCAGTTCGACGACCACGTATGTAGAAAGGATCCGGGTGATTTACGCAGTGTCCTCGAATCGTGGAGCTTGGATCTGTCAGTGCACGACCCTGAATGCCGTACAGAGGCTGCAGGTGCTACACTCATTGGGGGACGGTCTTCACCTGAGATTCCTTGGCGCGGCTGTCTCGAACACTTGTGAGACCAGTTCCTGCGAGGCCTACGGATTCAAGCCGAAGTCCCATCTTGTATGGCTTACCGCGACATGAACTGCTCAAGGCAGCATTGAAGTTGTAGGCAGATGGCGAGTGCCACAGAATTAGTTGCACAGCGCCGACAGCAGACGCGACAAGCTGTCCAGTTTCTCATCTTCCATTGCGGTTGGGGCTTGCTCACATGGCTTGCCCTGGAATTGAAGCATGTTGTGCGCAGTATCCCGCTGACAACCTAGCGTGCAACACGACAGCTTGTCCTCGTCTGGCATAGCTTCCGTCAGCCAGAGTTAATACTTGGCCGAGGGAATCTTTAAGAATTTGTATCGGTTCCAAAGTCCTGCGTGTATGAGCCGAAACAAGGGCATATGCTGTGCCGGATCAGCTCACTTCATCCCGGCTTCGACGAAACGGAGTCGGGGGAGCTATGAAGAGCTAAAGGAAGGTAGAGCTCGATAATTGCTGTTGCCACTCGGCCCACTTCGACACAGGGTTACCTCTTTGTGTACCACCCGTTTGTTCGTAGCTCAATCAGCGGGGGCCAGGGCTTAGGGTTTGCGGTCTTAATTCAAACTCCTCTGGTTTCAGAGATTTCCTCTAGGACTGGAGGATCCCAGAAACTGTTTCAGCTCCTTGGGAGGGGTCTCTTGGGAGGTCCCGAAGAGAACCATGACAGTGCTTCAGCACTTAGCGGCTCAGAGAAGGTCAAGAGAAGTCCTCCTTCAATCTTGCGAAGGTTTCAGGACATGTATCCGGCCCCAGGATCCCACAACAAATCCCGAGAGACTTTCTAAGAAGCTGGTCCTGTGGAGGTTGTGGCCACCTGAAAAACTACATGGGACTACCAATGCATGGCAATGCATCTTGTCCGCCTTGACAGCCTTAACCTGGATCACATTGGCTGAAGGAAGGAAGGATGGAAGGAAGGATGGAAGGAAGGATGGAAGGAAGGATGGAAGGAAGGAAGGAAGAGGGAGAGACCCTTAGGACACGAGCGCATGCAAGTTGGTGCGCACCCTTCGGGGGTTTAGCTCGAAGAGAGAGAGCGAGAGAGAGAGGTACGGCGAGGGAGAGAGAGAGAGGGCTGTCGAAGAATACTCTCGAAATTTAGCTACCGCGACACCAAGCCTCGAGCTGTGGGAGCTTGGGCCCCATTTTCCTTTCCTCCCCTCCACTGCTCCCCTCCGTAACGTTGGGAGCTCGATTCGCTGCAGAGATGTCGCGACGTGTTGTGAGAGCTTTGGTGTGTTTCTTTGCTTCGGTCGAGTCGGCCAAGGCCAAGGTTCTTTGGAGAATGGGCAACAGCGGTTGCTGCTGGGACCTCGGGGGTTTGCGCTCTGACAAATTTGGCTCTCTTTTGGCTCTCTGGGCTCTCTTGGCTCTCTTGGCTCTTTTGGTGTGTGCATGTGTGCACACATTTTGCACCTTTGCATGCACTTGTGCGCTTTGAGAGGCGGAGATCGGTCATCCGACAAAGCGTTGGAGGATGGCAAGGCACCTCCAGCCGCGGATCCTTGTGCCAACATCAGATTCTGAGTCTGATGCCAGGCCATGTACACTTACGCAGAGGCGGCTGTCATGGAGCTGTCACTGAAAGACGCAACCATATGGGCTATGGTCCGGCTGTGGTCCGGCGTATCTCACAGGTTCACAAGTTCCCAGATGGAGTTGCCGCCGAGAAGCCCGGGTCCTGGCAGATACCGGGTAGATGACGGCAGATGGTTCAAGGAAGATCGATGCGTCTCTGGGGGACATACGGGGCGTTCAACACACCTCAGGCTCGACGAGGCAGATCTCGAGGTGACCGCACATTCTGAGCTCCTGGCTTGACCGATCTGATGGCTTGGACGTTGCAAGCTGGAAGGCTGGCAGTAGACTTTGCTTTGACTTTGCTAAGGCCCTCCATGAAGAAGGCAGTTGAATCTATCTTGGCCGCAAAAGATGCTCTGCCGGTTTTTAAGGCCGGCACGAGGGGTCATGCTGCATTCATTATCAAGCGTTTGCCAAGACTCGGGAGAGCCAGGAATTATTCCTATAGCGTTTACTATCCGAAGCGGGCAGCTTTGCTTTTTTTGAAGCCCATGAACCTGATTTAATTTTTGTGGGATTTAATTATCGTTTCTATGGTGTAACTTCAACGGTTTTAGCGTGTGTTTTTTATGGCCCAAGTCGCACACTTCCGAAAGTCCCCCCCCTGCCCCAGAAGGGCACGTACATTCTCATGACAGTCTGGCCGTGGTACCATGATTCTTGTGCTCCCCTTTCCGGACGCGAGCCGAAGTTCCGACTCCTGGATGGTTAGTCGACTCGTGCCTCTCGACCTTCCGACTTTGGTTACTTGACCTTTCCAACACGCATGGTCACAAATCATTCCCACCAAACGTCCTGTGACCAGGCACTTTTGAGTGACATCAAATCGCTGCAGAAGCAGAAGCCAAGCCAGAAGCTACTTGTACCGCACATAGCCCCGCATGCAGCCCATATGCACATCCGAAGCATCTTGAGTGCCAGCTGAGGTTGGACCTCGATGAAGTAGCGCAGGGGGTCCCAGTACTGTCATAGTGCACTCCATGTATCTTCATGTTGGGTGAGGATAACTGCACCGGGCGCCGGCACATATGTTCCGCAGCTGTTTGGCACGAAGAGACTGCAAAGTTGCATCTGTATGGTGTTACACACTCCAATCTAGGCTCGCACTTCAGAACACCAGGTGCGTTGAGCCAGCCGGCTAGATGTCGCAGTCAACCCCGCTGAAGTTATGACCACCGGATTTTGTTTAGAGATCACCTTGCAGTTCTCCATGGCCAAGCCGTGGCGCGAAGCTAGCTCCTAAGCTTGAAGCAGTTGCGATGACATGGCCAATGCCTTGCAAAGATGAATGCCAGTAGCTGTGGATGCCCTGAGACATAATTTGACGTGATGCGGGCCAAGGCAATGAAAGGGGGGAAGTGAGAAGGGCGCATGAGAGCTAAGCGACGGAGCTGGTGGAGTAGCAGAACCGCATGTGCAACTGGCGACCCGGTGTAAATTGGTGTCGCTAGCGGACAAAAAAGGCCCCTGCTAAAGCCGAGATGCAGCGTCAGCATGGTACTTCTATAGTAGAGCAGCAGAGTTTGCCACAGCCTGAAAGTTGATGCCAGGGAGAAAGTGCAGGCGGCATCGGATAAACTGACGGAGCCTTGTCCCCGGGAGTTAATGGCAGAGATTTTCACTTGAGACTGGCCATGTAGCGTCCGGCCATGGGCCCGGAGCCACGCAACTGCATGCGAGAGATTGTAAGGTATCATATAGTATCGTAAGGCTTCCACTCTGCGAGCCGCCGCTGTGAGGTCCAAGATCGACCTTTTTCTGTGCAGCGTCCAGCAGAAAGTGACCGAGGCAGCAGCTTCAGCGCAATGCTGGTCTTTTATCTTCTATATTCAATCATGCTGGTCTCGAGAGGTTCACTTTACACGTTTCCACAACATGTTATGCAACTGAAGCCTCAGGCCAAAGACCCAGATCTGGACAATAGCAATGCCCATTTCAAGTGGATTCTGGTGGTCGACCGGGATGTGGCTCCTGACTTCAAGGCGCCTCTGAGTGCGATACGCATCATTCGGCGGAATGCCGCTATAGCGGTCGTACAGCGCTGGCCGCCTCAAGTTGTCACGAAGTATAGTCATGGGTTGGTGTGCACTTACCTATTCGAGGCCCTGCACACGTACATGCCGGTCGTTACTCCAAAGGCCACAGGCAAAGACAAGAACTGCGCTTGGACCCTGGCTTCTGCTTTGCCTGCAGCACACGCGAGGAGATGCCCAGGAGATGATGAATGCCAGGGAATGCCCAGGAGATGCCAGAGTAAGCCATTTCTGCGCAAGGTCGTCATGTAGATGATTTGGAGCACAGTGTGGGCGTTTGGAGGCAGGTGGTCGTACGGCTTGCATGCTTTTGTCGGCTCTGACGTTGCATTAGCAGGTCTTGCCCAACTCACAACTGAAGCTGTTGTACAAATGTCTCACTCATGGCTCTTGCAGCCCTCGATTAAACAAGGCTGTCGTCCAGCAGAGGCTTTTCGATCTGGTCCGGAACAGGTTTTTTTTCGCATAAATGGCGAGATGTTGTACTGAATTGCAGAGCATCGTCATTGTGACCAGCTTTATATCGCGCTGCTGTTGGCTTCGCCTGCACGCGCGCCGTCTGATAAACCGGCTGCGCACGAGTTTTTAGAAGTCTGAATTGCAGAATATCGCAGAATCGTGTTCGGCATCACAAGGCAGCGCCCCATTGTCTTTTTGCTTTATCACATTCACTCGCTGCCAAGGCTGTCCGCTTGTTCTCTGAACCGCCGGCACGGGTCTCGCTTCTCTACGTTGGCTTCGACCGACGCAGTGTAGTCCAATAGTCCATGGCAGAGAACCCATTAGCCGCCATGCTGAACATTGAGCACGGAGCGTAGTTTTGTGTGCTGGCAAAAAGCATGTTGTCTTCAGAAAAGATACTCATATGCGAACAGCTCGTCGCTGCCCGTCATGTCGCAGATTTCGCTGAATTCATGTGCCTTTCAAAGTGGAGACAGTGAAGGTGGCGGCACCTTGGTACATATTTCAGCAGCGTCCGAGCCTGCCACACGGCGCTTTGGTGCAGACATTTGCCTCGTCATCGATGTGTCGGGCTCAATGCAATTGCCTGCCACCGTCAAAGACCGTGAAGGTGCAGAATGTGCAGAGCTCAGCATACTGGATGTCGTCGTGCACAGCTGCCGGACCGTCTGTGCCACCTTGACGAGTGGTGACAGGATTGGCATTGTGGCTTACTCCGACCGAGCGCAGACGGTGTTGCCATTAACAGACATGGATGCGAACGGACAAGCTCAGGCTGAAGCGGCGCTAAGCAGGCTCCGGGCCGATGGGCAAACTAACCTCTGGGACGGCCTTCAAACGGGACTGGAGATGCTGCGAAACGGGCGCAGTACAAGCACCAACACAATGTCGTCCGCCTTACTGCTGACGGACGGGGTTCCCAACGTCGACCCTGCAGGTGGGCATTTGGCTGCACTTGAAGACTACAGACGTTCTGCTGGTGGTAAGCTACCTTGCGCCCTGCACACCTTCGGATTCGGCTACGAGTTGAACTCCCAACTGTTGGATGAGCTTGCCCACGCAGGTGGAGGTCTGTATGTTTTTATTCCTGATGCTGGCTTCGTTGGCACTGCTCTTGTGAACTGCAGTTCCAATGCTGTAACAGCCGCTGGGCACAATGCTGAACTGGTTCTGCACCTGGAGGATGCGGTGCGTGTCGATCACTGCTTCGGCTACACCTTACAGACAGAGCAGTCTGGCCCAAGTGGCCCAAGTGGCCCAAGTGGAACGTGCCGCATACATTTGGGATCAATCCAGTTGGGTCAGACCAAGGACGGACTCAAGATCCGACAGGCAATAGGTCTCGTGGGGTCTCACTTGGTCTCATGAAAGCCGTGCCCGGTGGAGTTTGCCAATTCCCGCTGCATGTCCCCTTCGGAGCGCAGAGCTTTCGGCTCAAGTCGGCTTTCATTCTTTCATCCGTTAGCGTCCTTAAGGACGGAATGCTGATGCTTGCGAATTGTTTCGGTGATGTGGGAGCGCTTTACACATCGCTGCGCTGAGCAAGAGTGCCGTCCTGCCCTGGTGGACCATGATCTTCCGGCAGGAGGGCGTGCGAAGAGCTGCAGCGAAGTCTTCCAACAGGTCACGAGACTGTCCAAGATGCTTGGGGCACTGGAGACCGCTCGGGAACGGAACATTGGCGTGTGCTTTGAAAGGACTTCTTTTGCAGCGGTGGTTTCGTTGCTTACGGCTTTGTGGATGCGCCGTCCGTACGTGCCTCTTTCTTCCGAGTGTCCTGGTCTTGGAAGGCCGATCCAACGGTTTGTTGTCCTGCTGAACATGGCAGGCGTTTGGTGCATTCTCTGCGGTTCCAAGATGCTGAGCTTTGCCAGATCTGCGTGGGAGGCCTCCGGCAAAAGAGCCGAGAGACATGTGATTGATGTGGAACTGCTTATCTCGGAGAGTTCGGAGAGTTCTGAAGTTTCACTTGCTCCCCGAGACTCTCAAAATGATGCCAGTGAGGACAAGGACACCCTTTACATCATCTTTACATCCGGCTCGACCGGCCGCCCAAAGGGTGTGCACGGTCCCCATTCTGCAACGCTCAACAGACTTCGTTGGCAATGGGCCAAATTCCCTTGGGAAAAGGGGGAAGTGGCATGTGCACGAACTCCTTTGACCTTCGTCGACCACGTGGCAGAAGTTTTTGGCTCTTTGCTAGCGGTGCCTGGACCTGTCTTGGTATGCCCACTGTCAACCTCGCAGTCTTCTGCCTTGTTAACATCAGTTCGTCAGTTTGCAGTCACAAGACTCGTTCTGACACCCACCCTGTTGAGGCTTCTTCTTTTGGAGGCAGCTAATCTTGAGAGCCCTTGGCGGTCACTGCGCATGCTGACATGCTCCGGCGAGCTCTTGACGAGGAGCTTGGTGGCACAAGCACGTGCTCAGCTTCCCGAAGAATGCAAGCTGCTGAACATCTACGGTTCTACAGAAGTGGCAGGGGATGCGACATGTGCAGAATTGCCAGACGATGATGTTGAAGATGAGACTCCACTGGTGCCGTGCGGCAGAGCCATTGACGGCGTGGCCGTGCACTTGCATACGGAGCTGGAGGACAGCACTGAAAGTACTGAAAGTGCTCCGGAGCTCTTGAACCTGACTGAGATGACTGAGGATGTTTGCTTTGGCACGGTTGGAGAAGTTTACGTGACTGGCAGCTGCCTGGCGGGTGGGTATTGCGACTATAGTGCGGATAACAAGGTCATCCAAACTGAATCATTTCCTTCCATCCGCGGTGTGCGGTGCTTCAGGAGCAACGACCTGGCAAGGTGGCAGATAAGCAGGAAACATCAGAGGACTTTGTATGTTCTGGGGCGCTGTGGCCAGATGGTGAAGGTACGCGGGCAGCGCGTGGAGCTCTCTTCCGTGGAAGCTGCGCTGTGCTCCATTGAGCTGGCAGAGAGCCTCATTCGTGCCACGCGTGATGTGCATGATCAGGTGGCAGGCTATGGCTTGCGAGACCCTCAAAGGCTTCAACCAATCTTTGCACAGGCTGCATGTTTTGTGGATGACAGCGGCAGCCTAGTTGCTGCGGGAGTTTTGTCTCCCGGCTTTAATGGCTCTGATTCGGGTTCCCGGGGTTCTCCCTCCACTTCTCTGATGGCTGCGGTCCGACAGAACATGGCTCACTTGCTTCCTTCAGCGGCAGTACCTTCGCGCCTTATCGCAGTGCCATCGCTGCCGAAGCTTCCCAGTGGGAAAGTGGATCGCAGCAAGTTGATGAGTGGTGCAATGACCGCCCAAGGAAGTTCCAACCATGCGCAGAGTACGTCTCACTTAGAGCAGCTTGTGAGAGAGATCTGGCAGAGCTGTTTGAACTCACCCTCAGGGCCACAAGCTGCACTTGACGACGACGAATCCTTCATTGCAGCAGGTGGTGATTCAGCGGGCTTGATGAAGATGGCATCGCGGCTTCGGCAGCTCTGCACGAGCGGCACGAGCGGTGCAGGCTTTGTGGGAGCTCTTCCCGTTCTTGCCGTTCCCGAGTTTGATGACCTGGTGGAAGCTGCCTCCACATCCTTCTCTGCTTTGCTGCAGCTTTGCATGATTCCACAGAGCAGTCGCAAGCGAAGGCGCTTAAGCTCTGAAGGCACTGACTTGAGCCGTGTAGGCCGTGTGGCCAGCCGCGTGGCCGGTTGCGCAAGCAGCCCGCACTTGTGGGACAGTCTCCCATGCCGGCCGTTTGCTAGTGACTCCTTCGGCTCTTGTGGCACGGCTTCAGAAGGCTCCGCCTGGGTGGTCCACGCGCGGGGTGGTTGCTGTGCAGGGCCAGCTTCGGCTCTTCAAGGCTCGCAGGTGGAGCTCCGCAGTCTTTGGCAGGGAGACGCTTTGCTTTACTGGAATACTTCGCCTCCCTTTTTCATCCCTCTGAGTCCATGTTATGCGGAGCACTGGTATGAAGCTCATTAAAGGCTTGTCGTAATCGGAAGTTTGCATCTCCTTCTGTACTCTCCGTAATCACCTCGCCCCCCCTTGCATTGTAACCTGGACAAGGATTTGCAGCAGTGTGTGGATGCACCTCCACTGGTTGTTCTGGGTCCTTCAGAAGGGCATGGTCAGCTGACAGCTTGGCTGTTACGCAGAAGCAATTGATCCTTGCATCGACTGCTTTCTGCTTTTCGTTGTTCACAGAGGTGCACTGGCTAAAAGCCCAACCCAATATCATACATTCGTGCGCGAAGCACGCGTAAACTCGCCTTTGTTCATGCCTTTCGCATTACATTTCTGGAGCTTTTCAGGAAGCAATCTGTGGTGAACTGTCATTCTCTGGGCCCGGCTATCATTTTGCGCAGAGGGTGGGCTCCTTGTCTAGAGAGTTTCTGTCACGTAGAAAAACTCACGATGGTACAGTTTCTGAAAGGTGAAGCCATGGACGGGGTGTGAACGGTTAGACCAAGACATGAGAATTAGGCTCTCATGGTGTGATGGGTGCTGTGGTCAAGAGCCCCTATAACGAAACTGGATGATAGGGTCTTTCAGGAGGTAACCAGTCAGAGCCGTGTGCATAGGATGGGTGCATACGGCTAACTGGGCTCATGATTCCAAGGTGTCAACTTCCAGCCCAAGCAAAGGTTGATTTCTTTGGCGGGTTCATGGGTGCTGAGGAGTTACGAGCGGATGATGCGGACGGGTGAATAAGGTCGCAATGCATGAGCGCAAGGAAGTAATGTTCCACACCAAACCCAGGCATAGGAGCTTGTTTCTACAGTATACCCTAATCAAAAGTGCGGGTTTTCCAAGTTGTTTCCATCTTTTTGCTTTTTGGGTTTGGAAGGAAGGAGGGGAGGCGGGTGGAGGCCTGCTACTTTTTGTGTGCATCGCTGACATTGCATTCCTGCGCACGGCTTCTTCTGTCTGGCAAGCGGGTGGCTATCTGCCTGGTCAGCCACAACATCACCACCAACCCAAATTATTGCAGGGGGGGAGGGGCTACATGATTGCGGATGCCCGCAATAATTTCGACCCTCCAGGAAATCATTGCGGGGAGGGTTGGGAGGGTCCGATTCCTTGGGTTTAAGAGACATCATGAACCATGGTTTGAGTCTAGGTGTGTGTGTGTGTGTGTGTAAACCCTGATTCTAAGCTAAGGGGCTTGGAGCTGAGAGCTTATGCATGAGTCGAATTTTCCCGCAGGGGGATTGGGCCTGATGCTTCTACCCAATCCAACGAAGCTATGAAGCATCAGGGGATGTGGAGTTTGGCCAGCTCCATGTACCTGCAATGTTTTCCAGGAGTCCCGATGGGATTCCCCTATACTGAGGTCTCTCCTGTACTGAGGTCTCTCCAGTCATCTCCAGTCAGTGTACCATTGTACAACAATCTCTGGCTGACCTCCCTCTCTCCGTGTGTGGGCTTCGTCGCCCAAGGGCAATTTACCCGTTTGGGCATTGCCTGATTCCTGGATGGGGATCACCCAAGTAAACAGAGAGGCTTCAGTGCCAGATGAGCCTTGGTAGGCACCCAGTGCTATGAGCGGATTCTCTCTCTCTCTCTCGAGGTACCAGCCACGGCTGAAGCTCAAAGTCGCCAATAAGGGCGGAACCGGAAATTGTTGAAGGGCGTCGTAAGCCCAGTCGTGAGACATAGACGAGGTGGTCTAACTCTCTATTCGTGGGTCTCGACCCGAGTCGTATTTCCGGTGGTTGCCCCTCAGTTGCAAATAGACCGTTTTCTTTCTTTAAAAGTAGAGGTGCTCTGGGTCGCTGTGGACAGCGGGGGCCTCCTGGATGCTCCTGGGTCCTTTGTGGCAGCTGGGGGTCCTCCACGACGACGACGATGATGGGAGGTGCCTTGGGTCAAGGCGGTGGCAGCTGGGATCTCCCGGACGCTCCTGGGCCTGTCATGGCAGCTGGAGGTCTCTGACGACGATGATGACGACGACACTAAGGATTTCTAAGGTCGGTGCTGGAGGAGGAGGGCCTATGGCGGTGACGGGCCTATGGCGGAGGACTCACCGGTGACAAAGGTACAAGACCAGGACTTTCCCTCTTCGGAGGGTGTGCGTGCAGCATATCTCTTGTGGCCTTGGAATGCACTGTGTCTCCCCTCGTAGGAGGGGTGTGTGTGTGTAAACCCTGATTCTAAGCTAAGGGGCTTGGAGCTGAGAGCTTATGCATGAGTCGAATTTTCCCGCAGGGGGATTGGGCCTGATGCTTCTACCCAATCCAACGAAGCTATGAAGCATCAGGGGATGTGGAGTTTGGCCAGCTCCATGTACCTGCAATGTTTTCCAGGAGTCCCGATGGGATTCCCCTATACTGAGGTCTCTCCTGTACTGAGGTCTCTCCAGTCATCTCCAGTCAGTGTACCATTGTACAACAATCTCTGGCTGACCTCCCTCTCTCCGTGTGTAGGTCTGTTATGGAGTTGCCTGCAAGGCGTGTCCAAGACGTTTTCAGACTCCAACTTGGATCACGGGGGTCTAGGGGCTTGGGGGACTTGCAATCATTCATCATGCTGACACCAAAAAGCCTAAGGCAACTTAGAGCCATGTGAAAATGATTGTTGGAGGCTTCCCGTTGGGGGGGGTGGGTCCCCCCAAAATGATTGCAGTGGGAGCGGGGATTAAATTCCACAGGTTAAATTCCACAGCAAGTGGTGCCCTGGCGTTGGTTACCTGGTGTTGTGTATGCAAAGAGATCAGCCGCGATAGTGGCAAACGCAGACCTGCAAAGCTCTTGGCGAAACAGGCCGAACTTTGCCAGCAAAAACCACAAGACTCGGATGTTTGTTGCGGGAAGGTCATCAACATAATGTTGATTGGTTTGCGCGTTGTCCTTAAAGCCCGAAGGCTGCAACCATCTTGTTTACCGAGTACAGCATGCTACAGTGCCAGGCACAAGGTCGATGAGTTTCGTTGCAATATCTTACAGTTGCTGGACCAAGCCGAATCTAGCATTTGCTGAAGGCAGTTGCTTGGTTCACGGGATATTAGATTCCGCAATGTGTACGGGCAGAAGAAACTAAGGAGCAGTTATGCAGGATCCAGGTCTCATGTTTGAACCAATCTTTTTGTTTGACGCTTTGCTTGCTCTTGTGTCGGTCACCGCAAGTGCAAGGCTTGTTGGATCGCACTCGGCCCAGCTTGCTTGCTTCGAGGCAGAGCCTTGCTTTATGACAAGATGCCCGTAGCCTGTTGCCGCTAAAGCAGTTGGTGCTTGTGCGTGGAACCAGTTCGTGCCGACAGCAAAGTGTAATCTGCTTTCAAGAGCGTTCAGGGCACGCCCATGCATATTGCTTCAAGGAAACCGGCCGTGAACACTGGCGGATGAAGCTTTCCGATCGCATTGAAGGTGGCTGTGCCTGTTCCTGCAGAGGTGGCCGCTTGCATGTGTACGCGGTCTGCTTCTCGGCATCGCAAGCTCATGCAACCGTTGTTTTGCGCAATGGTTTTCCCAAGTGTCTGGCTTGCTTGGTTTCCACCTGAGGCTACGATGGGAAGATGCACTGTGTTGACGTCAAATCCGGTGCGCTGCGATGGTCATCGTCCGTGGCCTTGCCCACAGATGAGAACACGGAGATCAAGAGTGCGCCCGTCATTCTCGATGAAGCGGGCATCGTGATAGCGGGCACTCATGGTGGCACAGCTGCTGCGATGTCAGCACTTGATGGGCTTCTTCTTTGGCGATTGCACTTGCCGGGTGCAATCTTCTCGACTCCCCTTCTGGTGCCGGACACGGGAGAATTGTACATTTGTGTGACCAGGGGCCAGTCCGTTTTTAAGTTCTGCTGCGCTCCCGACACCAACGCTTCTTGGCTATTTTACTGATCTGTACTGTCATGTGAGTAGGAAGTCAATGCAGCAAGTCAGACCAGTCAGATGCATGTGCGCGCACTTTGGATTCCTCAGGACTTCAGCACGGCGCCTGAGGAGAAGTGGGCCGTCCGAATGGCCACACCCATCTTCGCCGCTGTCTACGTGGATCGTCTTTGCTCGGTGCTCTTGGTGGAGGTAGCGGGCCGGCTCGCGATGCTCACAGAGGACAGGGGTGCTCCGTCCATGGCGTGGGCATTGGACCTGGACGGCCAGGCCTTCGCAGCTCCCTGCTTGCGGAAGGACCAAGAGTTGGCATTCCTCGGCACGCATGGTGGCACCGTGTGGGCCATCCGGCTGGTGGATGGGGGCTTGATGTGGCGCTGCAATGTCGCCGATGTTGTCTACGGCTCCCCTTTCCTTGTAAGTGGTACTCCTTGTGGCGTCGACCATGTGGGCCGCGTGGGCCACGTGAGCCATGTGTTATTCGTCGCGACTCGTCGAGGTGTTCTCCACCTCCTGGACGCCGGCGACGCTGCGGGCGGGTCACGTGTGGCACATGCCCAGTTGGAAGGAGAGGTGTTTTCATCACCCGTAGCCTGGTGTAGCCACGGTGGGCACGGTGAGAGTGCACCGGCAATCCACGTAGCAGTGGGTTGTCGGGATAACCGCTTGCACTGTTTCAAGCTCGAAAGACGAACGGATTGACAACCTGGACTATCCCAGAACTGTAGTTTAAGTTCTGGGGCGCTCTGCTGGTGCAGCTCTGGCCCTCCACAAGAGGTCTTCCACGTTGAAGTGGTGCGGGCACACAGCACTGATGTTCGCAGCTGGCAAGGGCCGTGTTGAAGTCGTGCGCCAGTTGGAGGCGAACAGTACCGACGAGGACTTGGCCAACAAGAGAAGGCTGCACAGCCTTGATGCTCGCAGAGGCAGCTCGCAGTGGTCATGTTGAAGTCGCAAGTGGTTGAGGCCACGCCGACGAGGACGTGGCCAACAAGGATGGCGGCGCACGGTGAATGGTCCATGGTTGCTCTGCAGAGTTTGCTGGTCCTAACGACGGCTCAGTGTTACGAGGATCTGTGGCCACCCAACTTGTACATCTTTCCACAAGAGGCGCATGAGTCCTCTGGACTCAAGTGTTGAGTGTGCGCAGTCTGTCGCAGCAGGCAGGCGCTCAGATCATGTAAAACGTGCACCTGCGCATCCTGAGTGGGATAGCCACTCGACTTGAAGGTCATGGACCAACACGTCCCTGTTGTCATTGCACATATTGCACGGTAAAACTACTGCCCATCTTTTTTTGCGTGGAGGGCAGGGCCCCATAGGGGTTGCCCGTGAAGTACGGATTGGTGTGGCCCTTTGTCTAGTTCTACCCATAGCAGAGCCGTGCTCTGATCCGAAAAGAGCCGACGGAGCATGAAAGCGGCGCAAGCATTCGACACTGCGGCTTCCGAAGGATGTCGTCCTTCGCCTTGCGGGGCCTTCGGCGGGCAAACTGCCGCAGCCCTTGTCGGTGTTGCTGTGTCTTCTTGTAGAATTGTAGATGCCAAGCGAAGATCAGACATCTCCGATTCCTCGAGTTGTTTTCTGAGGCTGCGAGCCGAGTTGTGCTACGACGGCGAGGGAGGGAAAACCGGGCACGCGGAGGCGAAAGACTCAGAAAGTGGCGCGCCCGCACTCTTTCTCTGCCACAAAGCAGTGATGAGGAGTGAGAGTGAGTGAGTGAGTGAGTGAGTGAGTGTGTGTGTGTGTGTGTGTTGGTTGCGTGTTGGTTGTTTGTCGAGAGGTCGAAGTGCAGGCTTCGGATCAGCATGCCTCTGCTGAGTGCAGAGTTCAGCTCGGTCCTTACCTCCATGGATAGAGTGTGTGTGATACATCATGATCTATGACTCAATGACTGTGTGATGCAACATTGGCCCATTGGCCCCTCTCTTCCTCAGGTGCTGCCGGTTGCAGCTAGTGGAGATCCTCGCCAGACTGCTGCAAAGCGAACTCGCGGAGGCACACGTGCCCATGTGTTGGCGATTGCCTTCTTTTTGCCGTTGCCCATCCAATGGGCCCTTCGAGGCGCCTGGGCAGGCTGCAGACTCAGGATCTTGGTTGCACGGTTGCTCCCTTTTGTGAAGACACACTCTCATGTTAGGCCTCGCGATTCCTAGAAGACCTTCGGGGCGTCCAAGCGGAAGGCACCAGGGCCAGGAGCCGCATTCCACAAGTCGGACTTCTTTTGCAGATGGGCCTCTTAGAGACCATCCTCTTCTTGCATGTCGTACTTTTTCCAAAGTAACGCACATGCCATGAGCTTCCACATCTCTCTTCTTGCTCAGAGCTCGAGGCGTGAAAGAGTTCTGGCCCGCGCAGCAGTATCGTAGTAGCATCATATTCAGGGTTGTTCGGTCTGTTTATTTCGGCCTGTAGTCTTCTTCTTCTTCTCGACTGCACCCAGCTCGATGGCATAGTGGGAATTGGTTGCTGCATGGCCCCTGCGAGTCGGTGGAGATGATCGGCTAGCCGGCCTTATCGAGGATGCCGGAGGCTTGGATTGGTGATTAGAGGCAATTAGAGGACTTCAGAAAGCTGGTGAACGATGAGCAGTGAAACCAGTCTCTTCGTTATCCTCGCTCCTCGCCGGCGCTCAGAGGTCAGCGGCCAAGTCGCCGAAGCTGTGTCGAGACAGGTCGGGGCACCGCACTTGCTTACTTCAACGAAGTCTTCAACTTGCGTGAGACTTGTGCAGGACTGGTACGAGCAGACACCTCAGTGTATGTGTTGCCTTATACGCTCAAGTAACTCACGCGGTTTGCAGTGTAAAGGTCTTGGGGGAAGCACTACTTGCGATCCTTATCACGAGCTCATCTGGCACAGCTCTGCAACAACTTCAAGGCATCATTGGGTGCAGCTGTGCGTTGGTTACCAACCGAAGGATGCTTGCAGTCGATGTGGTTCGGAGCTCGGGAAATACGGAGGTCTGTGGTTGCTCTAGCAAAGGAAGGAGTTAAGAGCATGTTCAGCACGTTGTATGCACCTCATACGTGGAATATGGGGCCAGATTTATGTATGCCTGCAGGATCCTGGTGTGCAGCCTTATGGAGGTTCGCTCTTCCACGAGGCGAAATTTGCTTTCACCCAACCTGGTTTTTGGTTTCGGGCGTGTTTCGGTGCTCTTTGCAGGTCCGAGATGCTGCAGATGATATCTTCCTGAAGATTCCGCCCCCAAACCCCGCTGCTTTGGACAATGTCGGAGCCCTTTCAAGATCTGTGCATTGCACGTGTGGGGATGTTTCTGTTGTCAAGCATGTTACTAGTAGGTTCCCGCACAAGCGATTCATCCACATCCAAGATTGGAATCAAGACGCTCCGGGACCCTGCGTGATTCCCGCAGCGGGCTGCTTCCCAAACGCCGAACCGACTCCGAAATTTGCCGGTCCAGCTGTGCTGTCGGGCTTGCACCCTTCTGGTCCACGCAAAAAATTGTCGAGTTTGGCCGCGGAAGAATTATGTCCCATCCAGATAGCGAGGAGCTGTGGCTCTCTCATCAGTATCGCTGGCTGCCGATGTAATGCATCCGCCGTTGTATTTTGTTGTAGCTTCAAGCCGTGATCTTGCCCCACCTTGCAACACGGACTCGGGCGTTGCGCTTCCAGAACACTTGATTCAAACAACAGTCGCTCAAAGAACCACACGCGATTCCAGCATCTCCAATCTGTTATCTCCGTGTAAGTTGTCACATTCCCTGCCTCGCCATCTTTAAGGTTTAGAGTTAGGCCGGTTAGGCCCTAAGCGCCAAACGGAGATACTGAGTGGCAAACCTTAAGCCCCCAGAAAAGTCCTCGGGTGACAAGCCGAACGATATTGTGTGCCAAACCCGAAACACTAAATGATATGCAAAATGGTGACGTATCATGGAAAACCCTGCATCCGAAAGGAAACCTCAACCCCATACTCACCAGCACTACTGTCGCATTTTCGGGCGGTACAGGGTTCTTTTGCCGATTGTCGATGTTTTCGCAGGCTTGAGGGCAGCTTCGGGGTACTGTACATGGGCATTTGTTGGCTACTTGTTTGCGGAGGGGGGAGCTGGAAAGGGGGGGTGGGGTGGTAGACCAGCCCATGAAAGATGTTCGACCTTAAAAAGGAGTGGGGAGATGTTGGGAGACTGCCTGGGTACATCCCGCTGTGTCCTCCAAAGTTTCATGCTTTGTGGAATCAGGTCGAGGCACTCAGCGCTATGGGCTTTGAAGAGACGGAGGTGCCTTTGCTCCAGATCAGCGATCTGCGTGTAAACTGCGAGATTCCTTGTGGCGCAAGCTAGGTCCGGCGTGCTTTAGACTTTGCCTACAACGATGTGGCAGCAGCTGCCACGTATCTCATGGAAGGCCTGCCGAGCGACTTGCAAGCAGGCCTCAAACATTCCTGTGTTCAATGTGTTCAGGTTTCCCAGTTCACAGGCCTTCACCAGCAACTCGTGTAGTCCTTAGCGATGCGAGCAGTCACCATGCGAAGACAGGCCTTGAGTGTTCAGGTGCTGGGGTTCCGTCCGCGACAGCTGTGGACATGTCCATGTACTACGATGCCTCAGGCACAGATCCCTTGTTGCCTTTGTCCGACCAGAAGGGCACGCGCAAAGTCATGTGTTGTGAGTTGTCAGTGTAGTTGCAGTGTAGTTGTGACTTCTCTCGAGGGCACATCTTTGCTCGCATCGCTTGCGCTAGTCCAGGTGGATAGTGAACCCGAGCATTTATGCCACCTGCGCAGCTACAGCTCTTGTACAGGTGTTCCTGCGCGTGACAACGTGTTGTGATTCAGCCGATCCAGGGCCATGTAGATGTTGCATCGCACGGGTGTTAGCTTTGCTTCTTTGCTGCCTGACGTCCATTGCATGTGCAATCAGACTCAGCACATATGGGCAGACATAGACATGATTTCATCGTTGTCGGTGACAGATGTGACAGCTTCAGGATGACGCGGGTAGAGGATCTCAGTGGTTGAGTAAGTGTAACGTTTCACGATGTTTGATGATTGAGGGCGTTTGACCGTACAAGAGCGTTGTCATCATGCTTCCTCGACGTCGGCGTCCGGCTGCTCCGCAGGACGAATTCTGTCCGGAGGCACAAGCTCGCTAGCAGCTTTGAGTTGTTTCGCTTGCGCGCTCCGCCTCGGCCGGGCCGGCCCGGCCAAGCCACGGGATGCGTCGGCGGTCCAGTGCACCTCGCGAGGAAAAGCACGGCGGGTAGCTGATCCCATTTCCGCAAACCCGCAAACCCGCAAAGCCGAAGCCTTGAACTTGCAGCACAAAAGAGCGTTTAGGACCCGGCGGACTTGTTGCCTGAGATCATGTGCTTGTTGCCAAGTGAAGCTTGGGTAACATGCTCGTGGGCTTGTTTCCAAGTGAAACTTGGATAGGGTGGTTTGATCTGCCAGCTGCAACAGGAAGGGTTGGGACGGGGGCGGGGGGGGGTAGACCAGATCATGGTCTGATTGTTCTAGATGCCTTCCGGCCGGAGACCGAAGCGAATGTTTAAGGAGGATTGAGACAGAATCAGGTCGTGGCAGATGTGACATGCCAGTAACAGTGATTGTGCGCGGGAGGTGCCCCTGATGTGGAAGCGACAGCTTCGCAAGGTGTGGACAGCCACCGCCGTTCTATGTGAAGGTAGTTGCAGCACCTAATCTTGAACCCTCACTGGTATCTGATTTTGTCTCCATAAAATCGTCTGGCTGCAATGTCTAAGAAACAGTTGCCGAGAGGCTCCCAAGCTTCCACGCTTGGACAAAATGAGGATCACCGTTGCAAGTGAGCGCAGCGCGCTTGGAGCGCTTGGAGCAGGGCTGCACTGTGTATGGATATGTGGATACTGCCATGGAGCAGTTAAGCATGCAACAAGCATTCTCGAAAGAGCTCTTGTTGAGGCTTGCTTCAGCGCAAGCGCTTGCCAAAGGGAGCCTCTGACACGTTTTCGAAGTCAGTTCTTGCTTGTGTAGCATCCGCACGCAGGGGGTCAGTCACATGGACATGTTCATCCGTTGGCAGGCCAATGGTGGGACGCCATAGCTGCTCTCCTTCCGGCAGAAGCGGACTTGTCCAAGCACATCTCATCCAAAGCTAGCAGTGTAAGTGATGACTCCTGCCTTTCAGAAGCGCAAGCCGCAGTGGCAAGATCTCTTATCGCAGATATCATGGGGGCACAGGCAGATGACAAGGAAACGGCATTGTGGACTGACGTCGACCTGGATCTTAACTTGGCCGAACTACATTCTGCAGATGTGAGCCGCGTTGTTGCGCAGGTTTTTACCCACTTGACGGCATCTTCACCCGTCGACAGCGACAGGCACTCTGCCCGTGCATTAGCGAGGAGTCCCGAGGACGGCTTGCATTCGGAAATCGCACAGGAGGTGGCATACCAGATCGTTGCTCGTCAGGCGGCAGCCAGCCCAACCCCAGGGATGGTGGTTCCTAGGACCCTGGATTCGCAGTCTCAGATCACCGCACAGACCTCACCAGCTCAAACGGCCGCCCGTGAAGCTGTGAAACATCTGGAGTTGGAGCGGCCATGGGCAAAGTCTCCAAGCAGTAGGCTGAGCGTGTCATGCGTGTCAGGCAACACAGACTCCCAGGTTGCTCAGTCCATCGCTCGGGATGTCCTTGGGCCATCCAGCGTGGCCAGCGTGGGCTCACATGCACCACGTGAACTTGACGACATGGAGCAAGCTTCAGATGGTGGAACATGCGGAGCCGCAGGGCATATTGTCCGAGACGTGGTTTCCATCGACAGCTGGTCACAACAGCCACGACTCTACTCTGGCCCGTGCTCGCAGCAAAACCTGTCTGATGATGGAAACACCGATTCCATCGCAGCCCGCTCGGTTGCAAGGCAGGCAGTAGCTCCAATGATGAGGCAGTTGGACCATGCTGATGGTCCTGCAACGCGTAAGGACACGCATCATCTCTCGAACGATGTTAGCCCGAATCTAGCAGACCTTGGAATGGCAGCGTTCTTTGAGGATGCAGTCTCTGCTGTGATTGCCCGGGAGTTCATGATGACGCCTGATCTGACGAGCGTGCATGGTGTTGATGAGTCACATCGCGAGAGCTACAGGAACACTGACTCAGCGGCAGCTAGTTCGATTGCGCGGCAGGCCATCGCTCCCATGCTGGCAAATGCCCATGCGCACAGGGCTCATGCAGCTAGTGTTGAAGAGGTGACAGGACAAGCTCCATCCGAGGATGATTTCGGCGCGCATGTCTTTGCGACAGATCTGGTCACCTCTGCAAGCGGACAGCAAGCGGATGAGCGCGGGACACAAAGCAGTCCGAACTCCCAGCATAATGTCTCGGAAAGCACCGACTCAATAATCGTCAACTCAATTGTGCGCCAAGCTGTTGCGCCGCATCTCGTGGGTTCCGAGTCTGGAACTCCGGGTCAGAGGAGTCATGCAGCTGGCGCTGAAGAGGTTTCCGGACAAGCTCCATCCGAGGGTGCTTTCAGTGCGCATGCCCTGGCCAGAGATCTGGTCACCTCAGCAAGCGGACAGCAAGCGGATGAACATCGGACACAAAGCAGTCCGAATTCCCAGCATGATGTCTCGGAAAACACCGACTCAATAATAGTCAACTCGATAGTGCGCCAAGCTGTTGTGCCGCATCTCGTGGGTTCTGAGTCTGGAACTCCGGGTCAGAGGAGTCATGAACGGGGCGTTGAAGAGGTGACGGGACAAGCTGCGTCCGAGGGTGCTTTCAGTGCACATGCCCTAGCAAGAGATCTGGTCACCTCAGCAAGCGGACAGCAAGCGGATGAGCATCGGACGCAAAGCAGTCCGAACTCCCAGCATGATGTCTCGGAAAACACCGACTCCAGAATAGTTGGCTCTATAGTGCGTCAAGCTGTTGCACCGCATCTGGTCGGTTCCGAATCCGAAACTCCGGGTCAGAGGAGTCATGCAGCTGGCGCTGAAGAGGTTTCCGGACAAGCTGCATCCGAGGGTGCTTTCAGTGCGCACGCCCTGGCCAGAGATCTGGTCACCTCTGCAAGCGGACAGCAAGCGGATGAGCGCGGGACACAAAGCAGTCCGAACTCCCAGCATGATGTCTCGCAAAGCACTGACTCAATAATAGTCAACTCGATAGTGCGCCAAGCTGTGGTGCCGCATCTCGTGGGTTCTGAGTCTGGAACTCCGGGCCAGAGGAGTCATGAACGGGGCGTTGAAGAGGTGACGGGACAAGCTGCGTCCGAGGGTGCTTTCAGTGCACATGCCCTAGCAAGAGATCTGGTCACCTCAGCAAGCGGACAGCAAGCGGATGAGCATCGGACGCAAAGCAGTCCGAGCTCCCAGCATGATGTCTCGGAAAACACCGACTCCAGAATAGTTGGCTCTATCGTGCGTCAAGCTGTTGCACCGCATCTGGTCGGTTCCGAATCCGAAACTCCGGGTCAGAGGAGTCATGCAGCTGGCGCTGAAGAGGTTTCCGGACAAGCTGCATCCGAGGGTGCTTTCAGTGCGCACGCCCTGGCCAGAGATCTGGTCACCTCTGCAAGCGGACAGCAAGCGGATGAGCGCGGGACACAAAGCAGTCCGAACTCCCAGCATGATGTCTCGCAAAGCACTGACTCAATAATAGTCAACTCGATAGTGCGCCAAGCTGTGGTGCCGCATCTCGTGGGTTCTGAGTCTGGAACTCCGGGCCAGAGGAGTCATGCAGCTGGCATTGAAGAGGTCACGGGACAAGCTGCGTCCGAGGGTTATTTTGATGCCAATCCGCATGCCCTGACAAAGGATCTGGTGACCTCTGCAGGCAGGCAGCCTGCCGCCGATGATAGTGAGCTGCTTCCTCCATCGGTGCACGACTGCATGGAGCAGTCAGAGGCTTTGGTTGCTGGGGCTGTTGCGCTAGAGAGCGCGGATCAGCTTTGGGCCACAGTTGGGCGAGTGCAATTGCAGCCTGGGTTTGAAGCTGATCGTATTGAAGTGGTTGAGAGTGCTGGCGTGTCAGTGCCTGTGCTTTGTCCGGCTTCAAATATGCTGCGTCCAGAAGAAGACGTTTTGTTCGACGAGGTGCCGCGGGCACCAAACGATTCTACTGGAAAGTCTCTTGCAGAAGATATTTCCAGACAGTGGCCAGGTGCGTACGATGCAAGTCCAGCCTCTGTCGGAATCTTGTCAGAAGGGTCGGTGGAAGCAAAATCCTTCGCACGGGATGCATTATCTGTTGCGTGAGCTAGCAGTCAGTGCTCGCAGCCTCAGCAGCTTGGCAACAGAAACTTGAAACAACATGTCGAGTTGGATGCAAACATGGCAAACATCTTTTCGAACAGCGAGGGAATGTTTGCAGCTCCACCAGGCTTGGAGCGAACCCAGACTCCGAAATGTGCTTTGACGATTTCTGAACCTTAGGCCAAACTAGGCAGCTCCGCAGCAGCTTTTGCATGGCTGGAAGGACGGCTTCTTGTGGGTAGAAAGGAAGGCCCACCGAAATGGCGTGAGGTGTAGCTGGAGCCATTGTTTTCCCCGTCGTTTTCCTCCGGCCCTGCGGGAACTGCGGCCGTGCTGATCGATAGCACTTAGGGCAGGGCGGCCTGATGAAGCAGACGCCATGCCAAGAACCTCACTGAATGGTGAGAGTCCTGCAGTGCTGTCTTCAAAAGCTGTAGCCACCTCGTACTTGCAACAGTCATGTGTAGACTCATTGTTGACGTCGCCTTCCGCCCATGTGGGGAGTGCATCGCAGGTCGGTTTCGTATGGAGGCTCCAGTTAATCACGCATGGTGCCAACAAGGCCCCAAGAAGGTTGCATGGGGTTGCGATGCTGGGGTGACAGCGTCTTCGGGAAAGCTAGCCCGCAGGGCGACTCGCAGCTGCTGTACTGTACGGTTTGGTGAAGTTTACTTTCTTAAAGAATAGGGCTGAAATAGTCCAAAGATGGATTCAGCATACAGCTGGCAGAGCCAGCAAGTGGGCGTGCCTCCGCATCCCCTTCTGCTCCGGAGCTTCTTGGAGTATGAGAAGGAAGGCAGTGGCAAGACGCAGCCGCCGGTCCTTGTCCTTGGCGCCAGGGACACTCATGCGAAGGACCCTCCAGTTCGCGATGCAGACTTAGTCGCTGTTTGTCTTCTTGTGCGTGCCATGTCAAGAACAGCTTCGCTGCCCATGGTGCGGCTGGACCTTTCTGGGGAATTGATAAGCTGTGGTGGCGCAAGAACCATTGCCGCCGTCCTGCAGGTGAGTTCCAATCTTTGCTCTGTGCTTTTGCGACGGACTCACGTCGGAGATGATGGTGCTGCGGCGCTGGGGGCAGCGCTGAGCTCCAGCATCTTGCAGGAACTTGACCTGGGTGAATGTGCCGTGACAGATGCAGGCGTGCGATACCTTGTGAGAGGCATGCAAGTGCATGGCATCCCACCCAGCTTCAAAGTGTTGCTGCTCGACGGAAACGCAGTTGGAGATGCAGGTGCCATTGAGGTTATTGCTTTGGTAGAAGAAGGATCAACGCTGTCTACACTAAGTGTTCACCCAGCCCTGCCGCGCTTTCTCTCAAAGGAAGTGGAGGCTGCTTTGCAGGTGGCTTGTGAACTAAGCCGAGTGAACCTGGAGTACAAGGGACAACCCGCCAGCTTAGACATGCTTGCGAGTCCCCGGACCCAACGCTGCCAGACGAAACCCCCGCCGGAGCTCTGTCATCACAGCAAAGCATGTTTTATTGCTTCTATACGGTTTCTATGTTTGATGTTTGTTAGTATGTGGCTTCAGCCCAACTTCCTGAAAGCATCTTGCCACAGTGAGGGGGTCAGCATCTCCACGAGCAGAACCAGCAGTGCGCGGCATTTCAGCGCCAACTCCGCAGCTCCAAAGCGAGTGCCAGACGTGCTGCTCATCCGCAAGCTGGAGCACAAGTTCTTGCCTAATTTCAATTATTTTCTGTTGCTTGTATACTTTCGTTTCGACATTTCGACGCACCCGCGCAGGCGGAGTAGTGAGCATCTAGCTTCCTGGATGGCTGCTACGGAGCGTGAGCTCCGGGAGCTCAAGTGGCTGCTTCGCTCGAGTTCCGCAAGGCTAGATGGGCAACACAAGATGCTCGGAAAATTAAAATCAGAGGCTTTTCTCTGCGTTTGTCACCTCTTTACCAGAACCCACCAGATCCCACCATGACTTACTCAGAAAGCTGGTGGCCGAATTGGAGAAGCTGCAAGCGCAGCTGGACACCTGGGCGCTTGGAAGCTCCGAGCCCTCCGAGGAAGCTCGGCTTGATGTCTTGGAGGCCCCTCTCACGTCGCGTACGTCGGGTGCCATTGTCGGGTTTTTTGTTGCAAGTCTCAAGCGGCAGGCCCGCTTCGACTCCATTGAACAGTTGGTTGGGAGGGAGCAGTCAGAGTGCGCGCAGCAGCTGGGCGGCACATTTGAGGGATGAGCGTTCTTTCATCAAGTCCGGTAATGTTTGATTCACAGTCGAACACCGATGCTGAGGATGTGGCAGCTGGTGGAGGTGGCGGCAGGGGCCGGCTGTGCCAGGAAGTGATTCTGGTTGCCAGCCGTGTGTTTCCGCAAGAAAAGGCGGCATTGCTATGGACGTGTCGGACGTGTTGGTGGACCAGTGATGGATTGCTGCATGTACGTGCTGAGGAGGGTTCGTGTGTTGGCTCGAAGTAAACCGTGCCCGAACGTGACTCGAGCGGGGCTGCTCCTTCATAGCATGATTTGGCGACTTCCATCTCCAGAACCGAAGATACATGGAAGCTAAAATGACATATTCTCAGCTCTACCAAGAGGCGTCAGTACACTACGCATAGCAACATAGTAGGACCGGCAACATGGCCAGCCCGGAGGACTGCTTGGGTTCTAGAGGGCCGTTGGAAGGAAGTGTGGTGCCCAGCCTTACAGAGTGAGTTCTTTCCGAGCAAACAAGGAAGATCTTGCTTTGCGGGAAAGGGCAGGAAGGCCAATCTAATGCGTGTGGCATATGTCACTGGTAGCAACATGGTCCCAAACACTCCTTTGTAGATGCTGTGTTGCTCCTTAAGATGCTGGCGGTGACGATGACGACGGCCATGACGACCAGGATGATGATGAGGATGATGATGATGATCATAATGATGATTAATGGCTAGAGCAGCCGAAAAGTGTGTGTGTGTGTGTGTGTGTGTGTGTGTATGTGTGTGTGTCTGTGCAAGGGAGGGAGGAGTGATATCAAGTAACGAAGTGGTTCGCTGTAATGTTCCTTAGCTAGCCCCTTGGCCCTTGGCTCTGCATCATAAAGTGTGACACAGCATGACTGATGGAATCCACAACGTCTGAACAGCAATCGCACGTCTGCAATGTGTATGTGGCTTTGTTGGCCAGGACTTTGCCCAGGAAATTTTCGTCGGAAAGGCCTTCACGACGGCGCTGCATGCCTTGGAATTGTCTCAACTGCCAAGCACAGGTTCCGATTCCGCCACTATCTTCTCTGCTGGACGTGAGGGTCCCCTTCGTGGAGCTGGAGGCAGCAATGCGCAACCGCCCAGCTTTCTTGACGCGTAAAGCTCGGCAGAATGCAGGGATGAATGAGGATACTTTACCTCCCTGATGCGGTTGAGAGGGGATGATTTGCGGTGCGGGCAAAAACGCAGAGCTTGTAACAGGCCCCGACGGCTTTCTTATGACAAGGGGGACGTGTCAAGCCGTTCTACTTGCGACAAGCCTCTTCGCGACAATCCTCTGTTGCATGATGAACCAACACGATAAGTAGTGGGTGTGAGGCAACAGGCCGTGACAGGGGTATGTATCCGTGAGATTTAGGGTGGGTGGGTGGTTACGACACCTGTTTAATCTACCAGTTACAGTCGCTGTGCCTTCTGACAGTCTGATCGGCTTCATGCTTCGGTGTCGGCTCCTTATGACTCTGCATGCAGCTCCTGATTGTGGCTGCATCCCAAAGATGACGACGCAAGGTCGTGGCTCTACGGGGCAGTGCAGGCTCTGCAACAGTGCGGCCCTTACATCGCCTCACAATGCCTCACATGCGTCATCATGCGCCCCACCGGCACACGCGAGGCAGGGCCTCAAGCTGAACTCTGAGCTGCAACAGCTGCAGCTCCAGGCATCAGACGCAACGATCAGTGCCCAATACATTAGAGACGCGGAGGGTGCGCAAGATCCGGAAGGCATCTCCATCTCCTGCAGCGGACGCAGAGGATTCCTTGTGTTCGTGTGTATTCATAAATGAAGACATTGGGGCTCACTGGGCAGCGCAGGATGTCATGCTCAGAGCCGATGAGCATCGACGTGGTGCGGAACAAGCACAACTGGAACTGCGCTCATGACCTAGCGACCCCACACTTGAGAGTCGGGAAGTTCGCAGAATTCTGTTCGAGCCTTTTTGCTGGATGATGTTGGGTGAGGTTTTCAAGCGCTTGCTGCAGCTGTGGAGAGTCGACTGCAGCACAGTGATCTGGAGGAGCCGCCGCAACCTGCCTCCTCGATGTCAAGAATGCATCCTGTGCTTTGTGGGTTGCCGGAGAAAAGCCGTGGTTTCTCTGAGAGGCCTGGGACGCAAAGGTCACGCAGAGACTGGACGAGATTTCCCAGCAGTCCAACAAGGTTGACTTTCTCGGCATCCCAGGGTTCACGCAGCATTGCTGATGATTCGTGTGTCGCAGTGTGGTATGGGTGGACTTCGTCCAGGAGATCTCTTCTCTGGCGAGGCTATTGGAGAGCAACCTGTCGGCAGACCGCCGGCAGCTGCAGGCACCGTGAGAGAACCCAGAACGCAGCAATGTTTTCCTTTCTTAACCCTGATGTTCTTATTCCCAAACAGCATCAAGTCACACCCCGTGACAAGTTGAGGGGGGGCTGCAGGAGCTCTTCGAGGCTCTACGCTGCAAGGCTCGACGTCTCCAGCCTGTTTTTCGGCCTGAGAACTTCAGGGCACTTCAGGGCCTTGTGCCCGTCTCTCCTTTTCTCTCCCTGCTCGTGGCGCGCGCGCGCGCGTGTGTCTCTCGTCTGATTTGTTCTCTGGCAGGTCGAAGCGCACCTCGGGGTGATGATGGCGGAGTCTGGGGTCCAGAACGACACGGTGCAGGCAAGAGCTGGGAGCTGCCGAGCTGCCCTGCAAGGGCTGGGGAACTTGAGGAGCTTAAGGAACTTTAAAAGGAACTTAAGAGCCGGCTGTAAGTCAGAGGCCTCTGCATCTTGGCATTGGCTGTTCAGGAAGTTCGACAATTTCCAGCTCAACGAAAGCTTCGAGTTCAAAGTTTGAGAATGCGTATGTAAGCAGCTTGTTCAAAGTTCGAGAATACGCGAGAAGGCAGGCAGCTTTCAAAATCCAAGCTTTCAAACTCACTTGCCCTTCAAATCTTCTATTTTCAGAGGTTCAAAGCTTCGTGCTCGAGTGCCTCTTCTCAAACTCAATCTCCAAGCTTTCTCGCTGAAGTTCGACGGTGTTTCGAGATTGCGAACTCGAGAGCTTGAAGACTCTCAATATTTTGATCCGCTGTCGAGTTTGACAGTTCCAAACCTTGAAAGTGTCGACTTCGGAGTTTGAGGTCTTGCATATGTGGGGGCAGGTCGATGTCGCGAGTTCGAAGGTTTGCAAGATTAAGAGTTTGACGGTTCGAAGTTTGAAGTCCATTCGAGTTTGAAAGCTTGAGGCTTCTGCGGTTTCAAAGTTCAGGAGTGTTAGTTTGACGCCCATTCGAGTCTACAGTCCATCAGGCCGGACACAATGGGGGATTTCGGGCTCAGGGAGGGCTTAAGGTTTAGGATCTCCGATTGGCTATATGTCGGCATATGTCAGCAAAAATTGGTGGAGCTGACTCAGTGGATGTCTCTGCACATGCGTGTGCCACCTTTAGAAAACTGAATGTATCGACTCCAAATCTTTGAACTCAGGGACCTCTCAAACGCTCAGGGTTTCACGAAGGCGACGTAGGGCGAAGCACTGAAGCGAAGGCGCATGCTCGTGATGCTTTCAACGTCTCGAACTCTCGAACTCCAAACGTTCAAACTCGGGAAACTCCAACTTTGGGGTCTGGTAGGGGTGGGGTATCTGGGCTTTTGGGGTCCAGCATTTAGGGGTTTCCACGTTGTTTGGTGCAGTGCTCGAGATCGTCTATTTCAGATCGCCGTCAAAGTCCCATACGGGCCCTGTTGCGAACGTTCAAGTTGTGAATCCCCGACACATTCAAAGTGCCAAACTTTTCAAGCCCGGATGTCGTCAGACGTCAAAGTTGGAAGCTTCAGGCTTTCAAACTCATAATCTAGCTGCAAGCTCTCAAACTCCTGACCTGAGGCTTTCCAGGTTTCTTCAGGATTTGCCAGAGACGTTCCAAAGTTTCAACTAGGTTTGATATTTGATGGCTTCGGGGTCTCTTACAACGAGGCCTGCTTGGGCTGCAGGGGCCCTTCGCTACGCCTGGGTCACCGCTCTGTGCTTTGGAAGGAAACTCGCAAACTTCGAAACCTTCGAGCTCGAAAAGAGCTCGAAAAGTTCCTGAACTCCAAACTCGACGGCCTTGAAACTTTCGAGCGCGAAGGTTGGCCTTGCCGTGTTTGCTCTCGTGCTCGTGTGGCAGATCAAAGTTGTTCAAGCTTCAGCCCCCCTCCTGCTTCAAACTTTCGAGCTCAAGAATCTTTCGCACTTTAAACTCCAAACGAACTCCGCGTGGTTTATCATGTTCACCGTTCAAAGTTTCAGGGCAGCACGCAGCTCACGTTTCGCTCGGATGCTTCGTGATCGCGAACCTCCCAATCTTCGAAAGCAGAAGGTACTTGACAGATTCTGCTCCCTGCTTTCCCAGTATCCATTCCGCTTAGGAAGCCTTTGGACCCCTTCTTGGGGGAGAATCCCAAGCCCCAGTCGCGAATAGTTTAGATTGTCGGATGGACGACGAAGCGAGGACGAACAGTTAGTCAGTCAGTTAAGTTGGTGTGTGTGTGTGTTTGTATGTGCGTGGCCTTGCTTCGAACATACAGGCGCATGCAATGCGCACGAGAACTCTGGTACAGACTTTAAGCGCTGACGAACCCGTGAATTCCTAAACCTCTCAGCCTGCATCGTAAGCCCTGACCTCAATCGCATCACCGAGGCCAGGCAGAGGGTGGGAACACGATATCCGTTTTTCACACCTGCTGGTTTCTTCAGGCTGCAGTGGCGGCTGCTGAGGCACATCTGGGCTCATCTCGGAAGGAAGTCGAGTAGGGTGGTCCCAGGCAGCTGCACGGCGCGCTCAGCACCGGGACTGCTTTGGATGTGCGAAGCTGTGTTGCAGATGTTGCGGCATTGAGACGGTTGGGCTGTGGAAGCTCAAGTTGATGTGTGAGGAGAGACCCCAGCTGGCTCCACTTTCCGCGCCGCAAGAGCTTCCCGCGCAATGATCTCAAGAACTTGCCAGAAGCCACATGTTTACCTTGCTGTGTCTATGCCGGTGTCTGTGCCTCTGTGTTACAACAAGGTCGCGCGACCGAGTGCTTGTAAAGTTAACTAGCCAAGTGCGCATGTGATGTGTGAAGATGGATGACCGATTGTTGGCTCGCAGACACACACAAACAAAGACTCGAAGCGGTGTATTGTAGTCGCCACTCAAACGAAGACGCTTCACCTGTGTGGTGATATCAACGTGGGACGTATGCAAAGTTAAGATTGTGACGTTCGTTTTATCCTTCAAGCTGTACATGTCTTGCAGCCAGTGTTGCTTCGCGCAAAAACTCCTGCTGCCTGCTAATCGTAAATCCTTACGCGCCGCCACGGCAGACGGCCTGGGCCAACACGAGGTGTAGCCTGCGCAACAGTCCTAGCCGGGGGCGTAAGGGAAGGGTTTCAAGGGTTTGAGGCAGAAGAGGCTGAGGACCAGATTGCAAGGGGGGGGTGGGTCCTAGGGGGTATCCCAAGCCAAGGGGGGGATCGCAGGAAGGCCTGGAAGCCGAGGCGAAGTCGCCAGCGGTCCATCCGCTCAGCAGGAAGCTTGCATGAAAGAACTTGATGCTTGAATCTCTTCAGAAAGAAGGCGTTTTGCTTTGCTGCATGTGTAAATATTTACTATCTGCTATCGCCAGTCAAGGATCCAGTCGGTTGACGGCTTTACAAATCAATGGCTTGAGGAATCCTGATAGACTGGCACACTGGCAATCGCGCATTGGCGCAACCACTTGACTACAAGACTGAGCTGCCTCGCAACCGACATCCCCCTCTCCCTGTCTCCACCTCTCTTTATCTGACCGTCCGTCGGTCTGTCCTTGTGTTCTACAAGTATTGTGGTGGACATTTGCACGCCGAGCTTTGCTTGCCGAAGGCCCGAAGAGACGACGCCTAATCCGGAGAGAAGGCTGCTGCACGGGTTTTGCTTAATGGCTCGCTTGAGTTCTCGGCAGAAATTGGGCAGCAGCTGGTTGCCAGGGTCTTCAGACACCGACAACAAGTAAACACTGCTCGGAATCGAACAACAAGTCTTTGCACACTTGAGCTTAGTTGCTCAGCTGCTGTGGTTGAGTTTGTGTGCTTGGACAGGCATTCTGGCCTGGTCGACATGCACTTGGCGCTGCAGTGTCTTGTCTACAGAGACCTTTGACGCTGCCCATAAGGAGTACGTCAAATACAGCGATTGAGAGGCCTCGCTAGCAACAGGGAGGTTTAGAAGAGGAGGGAGTTTTGTGTCCCGTGCGGCCCGTGCCGATAAGTTCTGCCAAGAGAGGTCGCGGCTGGAGCAGCTTGAGCGCAGCGTTCAACAGCTCTCCCGGCAGTCACAGGGTGGGAGCCCTCCAGAATACTTGTGTCCCCAGCTGATTTTGCCATCCTGTCTCCTGAGATGATGCAGTTCTGCACAAGCCGATCATGCCACCCACTCCTGCGCCTGCGGATGCAGGTCACGTTCATGGTCTCTGCTTGGCATCCGCTACTGTTGTAATGTGTGTTCCAAGGGGCCAGCAGTAACGACGCCATCTGGCAGCGGTTCACCGACGTGGATCAGGTTGGTATCACAGTTATTCCGTGTTTCCGATTTTCCTGCTTCTTGACTGCATAGGCCCACATCATGACTGTCCAAAGGATCTCGGAGGTTTCGGGAGCCACGATTCTTCCTATCTTGTGAATACTAGAACGGTGCACAAATGTGTCCTCAAAAGCTGTGCTGCAGCTCGAAACCCGCCTGGCCCGCATGGATGGTAGTGCGCTCAGATTGTAGGCGAAATTGGCTCATGGAGAGATGTCTTGGCACTCAGGCCGTAAAGGGCACCGAGATGGGAATGCCAAAGCAACACAGGCAAGCCGCTGCACTGCCTTGCGGACATGCTTGTGGAATGCCCGTAAATGGAACTTTTGCACCAGGCAAGCGACTGGGAGGCCCGTTTTCCGTCCATGTACGCCACATGTGGATTGCGGATTTGTATGGCAGAGGCACCCGTCTCTGAACTTCAGTCCAGCCATGCTTCCCTGGCAGAGGAGCCCCGCATAGTGCATCTCTTTCTGTTTGTTCAAAGTTGCAGAATCGAAAAGACTCCGAGTTCGCGCGAGTTGCTGCGTGTCTCGCTTCAGGAACTGGCGAGCCACGTGCTGCCACAAGTCTCCACATTGTCCGATGCCCAAGACCGTTTATGAGTTTTTTTTTAAGTTGTGGTCAGCATCCGCTGCAGGCGCTCTACCCTCACTCAAATTACGAAGTACATTTCCGGCGAAGCGCCAGAGGAGGACTTACCCTCCGCGAGACTCAGTCGGGTGACACCATTACAGGATGCTGATGAGATGCCACTGCTCCTCACATGGGTTCCCTGATGAGGACCTCCCCGTCCAATCTGTGAATGCGTTGGACTGGCTGCAGAAGCGTGCTGACCTGAGAGCATCTGAATCTGAGAGCTTGCTCAGCCTGAGACAGTGTGAAATGCTCAACTTGAACATGCATTGTGCTTACAGCCTTTGTAGCCATATCGCACGAGTACATGCAACATCAGCAAAGTTCCCAAGCACAGCCTGAAATCCGCTTGCCCAGGTGTTGGCGATCTGGCCAAGAGCAAAGGACTCACCTTGGAGGCTTGTGAGCATGATATTTAGTACGCCCTTGGTCACCTTTGTAGCTGCGTGATGAAATGTGCTGATGAAGGAAACCTAAAGAAAAGTTGTCGCTGACCAGGCCCGCCTTCAGTTGCTGGAACAAGCCACCGGCAGCACCGAGGCACCAACCTCCCAACTCGCCTGCTCCCTTGCTCAGAGCCGTGAACCATGCGGGTGTTTCTCTCTCAGTTGGCTTGTCCGGCAGATCTTCCAGAAAGTCCAAAACTTGGAGCAAATCCTGGGCAAGCTCGATGTCGATGCTGTAAATGAGGCCGTCGCTGGAAGCTGCAGGGTACATGTAATGAGCAGCAGGGTGTTCTGTGGGTTTTTTTTGCATTGAAAGGTACCTCCCCAGCTTATCATTGTCAAAGAAGATCAGGCTGGGAGAGTCCTTAAGATGTGGTGGATCTTTGGCTCGTCTCGTGTGCAGGAAGTGTTCAAGCAAGACTTGCGGCGTGAGGCCCTGCACTCAAATATGACATTGTGTAGAGTCCATGTCCATGTAGATCGTAGAAGCACGGTGCGATGAAGCCAGAGTTTCAAAAACATGGCTAGGTGCAGGAGCTGAAGGTGCTAGTCGGCTGCATGGAGGCTGAAGCGCGAGGTGGCTTCGGCGTGGCTTCAGCTTGAGACCCTGCCAGGCATGCGTGCCAAAGGAGACACGGAAAGCGATCCAGCTTTTCAAGCGGGGAGCTGGCGTTTCAGATGAGGAACCGGAGCGCAGCTTTTCAGCTGCGCGGTGCGTGTGCTTTTTCGTGCTACGCAGCCCATGGCGGTCTGGGGTAGCCTGGAGCAGTCTAGAAGGGGGGGTTCTTCAGCGAGTCCTTGGGGTCTTGCAGAGGACGGCACATGACACCCAGAGGTGCATGGATGTCGGGAGTCCAGGGGAGCGCCCAAAGCGATTAAAGAGGAAGGCCAGAGGGGCCTGGTCCCACACTCGAAGGCTCACAGGGCCCGTGGGAGTGTCCAGACAATTCCACGGGGGAGGGGGTGGGGTGAGGGGCAGTCCATGAAGTCTCTTCAGGATGCACATGATCTTTGGGGTGCTTAGAGTATCGGGGACAACAGGGAATCCCATAAGTTTATAAGGGACCGCCTGCCTCTTGATTCGCCCTACCAACACGTCAGCTGGCGCCTCAAAGCAGTGGTGCACAGCGGTGTGTGGGGCACAGGCAAGAGCGCACAGGAACGCACAGCGAGGTATGGCAGCAAGGTCCAGGGGGTCCATACAAAGCACAGTTGGGGGGGGCTCATATAGGCATACAGCATACAGAGCCCGAGGCGCCCAGCTTCCGGCCTGAAAAAGACCGGCCCCTATGGTCGCACCCACTCGGCTCCTGGTGCACCGTCTAGGCGGGATACCCATTCCAGGCAAAAACAACCCAAAAGCAAACCAAAACGAGCCAGCCCAGGTCTGGCTGCGCAGCAGCTTCAGGGTCTCTCCACTCCCTGCTTCCATGCTGCCAAGTGCGCCAGACCTCGAAGACCACGTTGATGCTTGGGGCCTCTCCCCGGAGGCTGTTGAGCTCCGCAGCATACATGACGCGCCGGGAAGAGCTCTGACAGGACCAACCCGGCTGCCAGCCTCCGCCGCTCATCCTCGTCCAACATCGTGGCGCAGTGCTCGTAGCTGCGCCATGCGACGGCAGGGCCTGCCTGAGGGTCGGCCACCACCACGGCTTCGCCTGGTGCAGTCTTGGTCCACACCACACGGTGCAAAGGAGCAGCAGCGCCAAAAGGGGCACGTCCGTGATAGGCTCCGGAGCAAGGATGTTGGGAGGCGGAATGAGGCGGAGCAGGGGGTGGTGGGTACCTGAGGAACTCCTACAGCCCAAGGGGCGGCTTCAGACACGGGATATGGGTTGCAGGAGTTCATCACCGCTGGCGGCCTCAAACTCCATGCTGACGTGGAGTCCCTTCGGGAGGCCATCGGAATGTCCGCACAGTCTTGTGCCGTTACGACATCCCAATGTTCATCAATGTCAATGTGTTAACAGCCTCTATCTATCTGTCTCTCTGACACGTTTCCTTTGCATCCCTTCTTTCCACGCGGTCTCACAGACACCACGTTGACTTTATTGCTTCGCCTTCCACCAGATGTCCCAGGAGTTGCAGACGCGGCTGGCGGACTTGGAGACCAACACTGCTTCTCGGAGAAGATGGCAGGGAGTCCGTGCCATCAAAACATGTACTGCGGAAAGCCGCAGAATGCCGAGGCCCAGCAGCATGACAACTTGAACTCCATGGTACAGGAATTGGAGACGAAACAGGCAGCGCTGATCGAGCGAATGTCAAAACAGACCAAATAATTTTTGCAGCTCCAGCGCAGGACAAGCTTCACAGCGTCTTCAGGAAGCGCTTTGCAAGCGAGGAGGCACACATTCCTGTAACACACCATGCTCCTCCACCCTGAGCGTTGAGTGGTCCAAGGTCCCCACAAGCGGTGATGCCTTCGTCGTGCCCCAGGGTTGGACGCATCCGTCGCAGAGCAAGGGATAAGCGAAGTGCGGTCGTGGTTGTGTTTGCGATCTCGCCACCATGTCAAACCAGAGGCAAAACTATCGGCCTTGGTGTGTTTCACTCCGCGTTTCACGAAGGCCTCACGCTTGTGGACCGCTCAAAAGGAGGCGTCGCTGCGCTGCCGTTCCGGCACTAGCTGCCACGAGCTCACTAGGTGCTCGGAAGATTGTTGAAGGACTCAGGCCGAAAGTTGTTGCCATGTCCCCATGGTCATGCGTGCCGAAACCGCTCACATGGCCAGATAGTAACGACACGACGAGTGGCCAAGACGTCACCACTTCAACCAACCGATCTGAGTTGCACAAGACGTTTACGAGCTTGGGTGATGTTGAAGGCCGTGTTTGTGGGCTTGGTTGAATGTTGGCTACCCGTTGACCACTTCCTGAGGCGCTAGGTGGGACCCTGGGCACCCTGCTTGACGTGAGATGCAAACCGGCGAAGCCAAATACTCCGCAACATCCATTCCGTTCCGTAATCTGGGTCGGGGTTGTCCCAACTGCTCATGCAAGCCGCAGCGATGAGTTACATTGAGCACAGTCCTGTTCGCACTCCAGCGCCCATTGTTGCAGTTGTACAGCAACAACTTGATACTTGTAGTCTAGGTAATCCGCTCGGCTTTGTTGTTGACTCTGCGTGTTGGGCCTCTTAGTTGCTGCGCTGATGGCCCCGTCTGCCTTTGAAGATCTTTGTCGCCAACGAGATGTCGCTGGGACAGAACAGACGTGGCTTTATGTTCAGTTGCGGTCTTGTTCAGCTACGAGAGCTCGAGCAAGTCGAGTGTAAGGTCAAACCTGACGCAGCGCCCCTAGTGATCCCAGTGACGAGATCATCAGTGGAGCACATCATGCCGTACTTTCGCGCTGAGGACTGGCGCGCCAAGCTGGTCATGCCAATTAGTGCAGATAAGAGCTTACAAGAAATGACGGACGCTGAGATCGAGGAGCACAACAGGAAAGTGCAAGAGACTTTGACGCAGAGAGTTTGTGGTGGCTCAAGGGTCCAGCTGCCACCTCGGGCCGAGAAGCAGTGAGAAGCTGTCTCTCTCATTGTTGTCACATGTTGTAACACTTCTTCTGTATCCAACGCTTTCTCGTCTTTCTTGCATGTCTTTTGCCATCTCTTCAAAATTTCTGCTGTCAATGTTTGATAGTTTTGACGTTGCCTGTTTTTTCTGCATGTCCATTGCGTCGCATCGATTTTGGCAACATCTAGCTGTATTCAGAGTGCTCCATCTGATTTTACAAACTTCATGTGTGCCCATAGCCCGTTGAGGGCATCTGGACGGCCCACTTTCTGGTCAACATGCCCAGGAGAGAATGCAGGAAGTCAGAAAGGACCGCGCTTTGCTGGCTCTGGAAAAGGCGCAGGAGACGATGCGACATGCGACGTGCGATGTGTTCCGTGCAGCTACAGTTCTGCTGTAGCTGTCTTTGCTTGGTCATGCTTGGCATTTCCCTTATAGGATGGAAGACTCGAGCGCAAAGCGATGAAGGCGGAGTGTGGGGGGTTCACTAAACAGAGCGGATTCCGCGGAGCGCGCCTGCTTCGTCCGTGCAGAGGCCTGGAGCCAGCACGCAAAGGAGCAAACCAAGATTCCAGCTGCGCAGGTTCGCAGACAAAGAGTTGATTCTCAGAATTTGCTCAGCATCCGTACTCTCTAGCGAAACAGTCTCCCGAGTCGGAGTACTTCCAGTATGTCAGAATGTGACGCATCAAGGGTCGGCTTTGGAGCAGGATGAGACAGAGCAAAAAGCATTGAAAGGAGAGATTCACAGCTCTTTACACATCCATTACAGGAGGTACTTCATAGACTGTCTTGCAAGTTGTAACCTTTCGAGTCGAGGATTATCGCCCCACCTCGCCGCGGCTTCTCTTCAGGTGCCTGAGATGATGGAGTCCCTGGCTTTCGAACTGTCCAGCAACGAGGTGCGATCGTGTCTTGGGCTCTGCCATTTGAGTACAGTTGGTTGCTGCTTCCAGGCTCACTTCTTGCTGGGCATTCTCGGGGCCACCCAGGCGCCCTGTGCCCCCCAAGCTCACGGGCTTATGGCTTTGCAGCCTTGACAAGGGCTCGGACGTTAACCTGGAGCACGAGGTTTCTCAAAACGATTGGCCTGTGGACCCAGTAAAGCAGGCGAGCCTTTGGGAGGCGACGAGCTGTATTGCACGCTCAGGCTCTGGCTGGTTGGGGAATGTCAAATCCTCAAGGCCCGCCCTGCTCGTGGTCAGCGGCTTGTGGGGAGGGGCCTACGTACATGTTCTAGCTTGAACCTTACTCCGTGAGATGTTATGCATCCTGGTTTCAGGGATCAGGATTTCAAACCCCTAAGCCTTGTGAATACGTGGGGTTTCATCAAGTTCTAGGACACAGGAAAAATCCTCAGAGCCACCCACACCCGGCTTTAGGAGGTTAGAGTTTCAGGACTCCTAGAGGACTTGGGCCGCAACATGATAGGAGTGGGCACCGGCTGTTGCATGCAGGCTGGCACACTTGAAGACCTGACCTTCTTTTCTTGTAGATGAGCTTCGAACCGTTATTGCAGACTTTGATTTGATAAGCTCGGCGGTCTGTGCACAGCGATGGCAAATGTGCACAGTCCGGGACACTTCCCCCTTGTTCCGACTTCCAGAGGTTAGGAGAGGAGTGTTGCAGGGTGCGTCAAAGTGGAAGAGATAATCCAATGGACAACATGTCACGTGGCTTTAGATGTGCCCACGCGCCCTGTTCCTGCAACAGATTCCCGTAGCGGCGTGAGGAGTCTTACAAGTTCTTCTTCCGCAGAGAGGACGCGCACGGCAATGAGCTTGGCGTATCCCTTTACGCATCCTGTGCACACCCTGAGCAGTCGCAGGAGTGGGAAGTGCAGTACACTGATCAATTGCGAAAGCTGACTCTCAAGGTCCTGCCATGTCCTGCCATGTCCTGCCTCTTCCGCCCTACCTCGATTCAACCTCCAGCCAGGACCTGTGGACAACGAAAGGACATCTAAGCCAAGGCCGTACTTGAAGGGTAAAATGTGTGTAAGCTGCAAGCGTGGTAAAAGGGGTTGTGAGAGGGGTTGTGACACTTGATGTGCTGTCCCCTTGCCGGAAGACTTCAGGAACCCACAACATCGGATGGTGGTGGACAACTGGGGAGAAGGTTGGCTCTGCCCCGCATTCTTTTCGTCGGCACTCTTGTAGCTGACAGCGACAAGGCGGACCAGGCCAGCGTGCTGCAGAAATTCGTCAGGGGCTTAAACTACCCAAGCTTGTGCAGCGAAGCCCGCAGTTCCGATCTTACTGTAGTACTGTAGGCCTGGGGGGCGCAGCGCGGCGCCCAGCAAAAGCCATCAAGAACCGCAGCGCGATGTGCGAAAGCGCCGGCGGAGCTTCAGGCCGGAGGTGGACGAGGAACTGCTGGGGAAGATGGAGCTCATGATCGGCCCTCGACTGAAGGCGTCACTTACAGGGATTTACAGGGGTAATTCTGGAATCCTGGAACTAATGCGCACGCAGCTTGCACATGTGGGGAGGGGTCGGAGTTGACCCATCAGCATAGTCTCACTGCATTCCACTGACCTGAAGCTTTCTGATCATGTACTCTTTTGTTGATATGAGCATTTGATGCTAGCTCCAGATGCTAGCAGCAGTGCAGTATATCATAACAACATCATTTACCGAAGCAGATACGCCGCAGCCGCCGCAGCAGCAGCAGCAGCAGCAGCAGCAGCAGCAGCAGCAGCAGCAGCAGGAGCAGGAGCAGGAGAAGGAGCAGCAGGAGCAGGAGCAGCAGGAGCAGGAGCAGCAGGAGCAGGAGCAGGAGCAGGCGAAAGCAACCCCAAGTGCATGGATTCATTCATTGTTCATTCACAGCCACTTATTCGTTTCAGCATTCGTTCATGTAGTCAAGTTTTTTCAGGATGTTGCGGAGGACGTAGTCCAAGTATTCGGGTGAAAAGTAGAATGAAGGCTAGAAAGTAGGATAGCTCGTGGATTTGAAGAGCGGTCTCGGAGCTTGCTAGAAAGACGATTCGCTGTACAAGTCTTATGCTGTCATGTTTGTTTTTTTGCGTGGTCCGCTGCGTGGCTGTATGGTGTGTGATGCCCCCAGTGCCCTCCAGGACACAGAGGGCGTGCAGCAGTCCGCGGAGTGACTCCTGCTTCCACAGGGAAAAGATGATGCTCCTGTCGAGCCACGTCTTGGACCGTCTGTCCAGTTATGTCATCCTGCTTTCTTGACCTTCCAGCTGGACTTCGACAGAGTAAGCTGCCACACTGTGGCCGCAGCATTGGGAAAGTGTTGTCAAGGGAGGCTTGGAGGTGCTTATCTAGGGAGGCTCAGTTCCAGCTCGGCTAGAGGGTTCTCTGTCCAATGCGCATGCCACGCGTGACTTTTTTAGAGTTTCGTGGGTTAGGAAAGTTGCAGTCTATCTCAAAGCTGTGATGCTTCAAGGTTGAGGCCAGGGCCGTCTACACGCACGTTCCCTTGCGTATGTTGTGAGTCAGTCAGCCAGCTGTGCTACTCATTGCAGCACGATCCTAGACTGTTGCTTTGTCAGCCTTCCTTCGGAGCAAGCCCCACGCTTTGAGACAAGCCAGAGTCAGGCCGTAATCAAGCTGTAGTCATGGGATAGGTTGAGTAGGCACATGTAGGTAAGGAGGATCGTCCGTTTTGCGACTTAGTGTTTTCGAGCATGGAGCTGCACGTGACGACAGTCATCGGTCTGCTCGGATCTTAGCTTCAAGTTACAGGACACTGCTTGAAAGTTGCTTGCAGAGCGCTTCCCAAAATAGGCAGACAGCTTTGCTGGTTTTCCTGCAGTTTGGGGAGAAGGCGGGCTGGGGTGCATGGATGGTGCACGGATGCAAGGAGTCATGCAGAGCCATGCGGAGCCATGTGGTTTCACCCAGAGGCATTGCCCTCACTCTTCGCAGCTCGCAAGGCTCTTTTGGCCGAGCGTTCAGCGTGGAGCTTCGTGCTAGCTGTGCGCGGCGTGCGTGGGCCTGTGGGCATGTGGCGGACGGTGTGGATGGCAGGCCTGCCATGCGGGCAGCGGCGCGCTGATGCTCTTCCTCGACTCACGAGATCCGCTGGCAAGGCCATGCCTGACTTTGGTGGCTTGCGCGCTTTTCGCTGATTTCCCTGGGGCTTAGTCTGGGCAGTTGTGATCTCTTGCTGCACTTGCTTTCCAGGGCCTATGTGTATCTTGTTGTGGTCACATCGTTGACCATGACCTGGCGCCTGGTCAAATGGGCCTAAGCCTCGGACAAGGCTCAGCTTCTGGTCAACTGTCTGCCCCCGGCTAGGACTTTTCTTCATTCCATGCTTGATGAAGTTCATTTGGGTTTGCAGGCTTCTGTCGGCCTTGTTCCCTCCCTCCCTCCTTCAGTCCCTCACCACCATGATTCATACTGGTCTATCATGACGCTTTAGTGTGTGTCGCAACGGCCTCGCGATCAACCGGCTTTGCGCATGGCTTAGGCTCCGGCTTTCCGGTTTGGCGCAGATTACGACGTAGGCCCCCGTTGCAGTGGCAGTCGGGGTGCTTTTTGAGGGGCAGAACTCTGTGTTCATGCTCGGTCACGAAGAGTAATTGCACCCGAGTCCAAACCAGAAACTCGAGAATCTAAGGCTGCAAAAAAGAACATTGCTAGACCCTGAGACCGGATAAGAAACCCGAGCCCCGATTTGTCCCAAGCCCAAAATGCATCAACTCACCGAAGTAGGGTCTGAGGCTTGGTGTTGGGAATCTGAGGGAATCTGAGGGATATGGAAAGTTGGGGGGGAGTATGAAAGACGGAAGCGACAGGTATCACCGTGTACCTGTTGATCGTGGCGATGTGGTAGTTGCCTTGGTGCTCCCCGGGGTCTCCAACGGAAAGCCTGCAAAGCCCCAGGTTCCACATGCAGCAGCCAGTCCAAGCTTTGGCGCCTTTGTTCTTTGCTGACCCTGCTTGACCCTGAGCTTTGCCTTTGTTGAAATTGCCGAAACTGCCACATCGAAAAAGGGTGTTGTGTCTCATTGAGGCTGGTGCGATAGTTGGAAAGTTCTGCTCAGAACGAGGCCGTTGGAATGTTGTGCCTGCATTGAGGAAAGGTGGCTGTCATGTGTGAGGTTTTAATCGCGAGTGGTATCAGAACAAGACCATCATGGGGACCGGGGGAGGGCATCGCTTTGCTCGGCGCTTGTGGCAGCCTTGCAGCGTGTTCCGCGAGGACTCTGGCCGTGCTGGTCGTGGCTTACTTCAGGCTCTCACTGATGCCGGATGTGCTGCAGCCAACGTATCCAACGCTGTGAGTGAGCTTTCTGCAGTCTGGATGCGCCGGTCTTCCTCCCGCGGGCCTGGGGCACGTCGGAGAATGCCTTCAATGGGATCGATTGGTCCATGCCGGGCAGCGTCTGAGGCCACCCTGGCGGTGCTTTGTGCGCTTGCCGAGGCGTTTGGTGGCCTGCGGCCTCAGATTTGTTGCGCTCTGCTTGCTCCTGTGCCACTGTGCCACCACCTGTATCTAGCAGGGCTGAGCACCTTGAAGTTTGATTTCCCTTTCTCGCCTGGCTGCTCATGGGAAGTTGCAAGGGGTTCTGGAACATGAGCTGCAAATACATTTTCAGCCAAAGAAAGTTGCTGCTCCCGACATGCGTTGCAATTGGCATAAAAGTGAAATGGCATAAACGTGTGTGTGTGTGTGTGTGTGTGTGTGTGTGTGTGTGTGTGTGTGTGTGTGTGTGTGTGTGTGTGTGTGTGTGTGTGTGTGTGTGTGTGTGTGTGTGTTGTAACGTTGAATTTCGTCTGCTTGACGTGCGGTCGACGAGCTGACTGGCACCATGCCACACACTGGTCACTTCGTGCACTTCTGTCAGTCTGTGCGCCTCCACTCTAGTGCGAAACTTTCAGGCAAGACATTCGACAACGCCATCATTGCCATCCCTGTGTTGGGTGGCTGGGCCTGCCTGGCATGCTCGATACCTGAGGCTGAGGACAGCAAGCAAAAACTCAAGCCATTATGTAAAGCACTACTTAATTTTAACGCTGCGCGACCCGCCTCGGCCCGGCCCAGCGCATCCGCGTGAGCATGGTGATTCCGCAGCGCCCAAGTTGCTGGGCCCCAAGCAATAAGGGTTGGGTTTAGGGTTTAGGGTTTAGGGTTCCGGGTTTATGGTTTATGGTTTGGGGTTTAGGGTTGAGGGTTAGTTTAGGATTGAGGGCTTAGGGCTCAAGGTCCACGCTTTGGGGTTTAGGGTTTTTTGGGTGTGGGGTTCAAGAATCGTAGGGTGGAGCCAGCCCATCAGGGGTAGGGGGGGGCGGGGGGGGAAGGGGGGGGCAGGGGGAGGGTGGGGGAGGGGGTTTGTTGAAGGTTTGAGGGTTGAGTGCTTCGGTTAAGGTTTAGGGTTTCGGTTCAAGCTTAGATTCTTCGGCTCGTGTAATGCATCCCAGGCGTGCTCACAGCAGTTGAGCCTCACCAATGTTCTGTAGTGGTTTTGGGAAGGGGAGGGGGTTTTGGGGGGAGGGGGGGGTGGGGGGGGGGAGGGAGGGGGGGGGGGGGGAGGGGGGGGGGGGGGGGCGGGGGGGGGGGGGGAGGGGGGGGGGGGAGGAGGGGGGGGGGGGGGGAGGGGGGCGGGGGGGGGGGGGGGGAGGGGGGGGGCGGGGGGGGGGGGGGGGAGGGGGGGGCGGGGGGGGGGGGGGGGGGGAGGGGGGGGGGGGAGGGGGGCAGGGGGGGGCGTGGGGGGGGGCGGGGGGGGGGGAGGGGGGGGGCGGAGGGTGTGAGGGGAAAAAGGGGGGCCTATGCAGCCTGCCTCTGGTCCTGGCGAACCATCCGCTGGCGGCCCCTGCTCTCCTGGGGGGGGTACCCATTTTTGGCAAAAAAAGGGGTAGGGGTGCCTGTTCTGACAACCGACACACCTTCGGCCCGCGGCCTCGGCGGATATCTCAGACTCAGTTGTTGCAGTGAAGGGAGAGCACTACACTTCTCAAAATATCACGTGCGCGTCAGGCTTTTTACCACTGGTGAGTCCGGTGGAGTTTTCGGCATTTTCGGCGGCTGCGGCTGCTCCAGCGGCCTTCAGAGCAAAAGTCTGTGCCAGGGATTCGCCTTTGTCCTTTCCGCAACAGTCCGGGCTCGAACATGCAAAGTTGCAGGGCCTTTCGAGGTGCCCGAGAGAAGATCCAGAGCCCTGAGGGCTGCGAGCCCCAGAAGCTCGAAGCTCTATTGCAATGGTCGAGCACAGCAGCAGACCGGCAGCCCGAGCGAAGCCAAAAGAAGGATTCGGATGGATCCTGCGCAGGGCATACTTGGGGCACTTCTCTGACAGAACACAACATGTTTCAACATCGTTGGACCATGCTGGCCGATGATGGCCCTTGACTAGTACGCCTTTGTGCTTGAAAGGGTGGGCGGTGCCAGAGGCCGGCACTGTCTGAAACTGAGTAGGCGATTATGTGCTAGATTTGTGAACGCGCGCCGGAGGGGGGTCGGCAGGAAATGCAGAATGCAGGAAGCACGATCGGTTGATCTGACTGGTGCCTTGAGGTGAACTGTGGTCTGTGCGTGCTCGCGCCCGCCAAAGCTGCGAATTGCATGACGTTGCCGACCCTCAAGCCTGTGTCTGGCACATGGGTCATAAAAGCAGGAGCTCGACTTCTTCTATTCAGGGACGGCTTCTGATAGGTTCATAGGTTCCAGAAGTACTCGTAGAGTAGATCAGTGCAGGCAGCGATGGGAGAAAGTCAGGTAGGGAGGAGGATTTCTCGCCAGCCATGGCTGCCGTGACATTGGACGTCCCACAACTACCTGAGGCGATCTCGTCAACACATGTGCCACTACATGTCTTGTGCAACGCGAGAGGAGCGAACTTCAGGGCTTGTGGAGGCACCGTATACTTCTGATGCTTTGTCACTCATTTTGCTTTGGTGGGACACGCACGTGATACGTTGTGCCCCCAGAGGACGAGCTGGACCTTCGATGGCTCGAGGTCGAGACGGGATGGGAGTGAGTCAATTGAGTCACAGATGGCCACGGGCTGAAGTCGAGAACGCCTGGCGATCTCGGGTCGGGGTGCAGACCCCTTGCGGTTTATGGTTGAGGGTTCAGGGTTTAGGGTGTAGGGTTTAGGGTTGAGTGTTGCTGATGCCCATGATGCGGGCTGCCGGCCCCGAGCCGGGGGATTGTGCTCGGAGTTGTGCGAGAGTGGAAGATGCCCTTACTGGTGCTCTCCCCCAGTTTGCCGGTTGGTGGATTGACACAGTGAGGACCGGCTGTCTTGGGCTGTGCGGCTTGGTGAGACGGCTGGGTACTGAGACGCTGAGAAGTGAGAGCGAAGCTTGCCTCGTTGAGCACGACCCTGGGTGTGTGAAAACTGAAAGTCCCAGGCCCAGGCCTTGCGCCCGGTGCTCAGCAATCACCCCCCTGCCACCTTCGTCTTCACCGCGCTTCTTCATTCTCAAGTCTAGGCGAGTGTGGTGAGCGCAGCGAGCGCGATGAGAGTGAGGGCGGCGTTGAGGGCTTGCAAGAAGGCCAGGCCAGGGCCATTGTCTTTGTTACTCTCGGACCGTATCAAGTTCTGCCAACTTTGCAACTGCCCGACCCCTGCGTCAGGCGAGCGCTGGCGTGAGGATTTTGCCCAACTTCGATGTGATTTCAGGCGAGTGAGTCCGAGCGAGCGTTCCATTGTGAGCGCCCCACCCTCGTCTGGGTGTGCTCAATACTTTCCATAGCAGCTGCAAATGTAGGCGTCTAACTCGAGTCTTTAGACCATGAAGGGGATGCAGTGTCGCTGTTGTATCTGTCGTGCAAGGCGGCGATCCAGACGATTGGAAAAGCTGGAGAACCAAATGCGCAGAGCCCGGAGCGTCGCGAAGTGCAGCATGTGTGGCAGTATGCATCGAACAGCCTCTCCTCGGCAATCTTTTGGCGGCATTCATGCACATCGGGCAAGGCATAAGTGTTCTCAGAATCTCAAGAACCGAAGCTCACTTAGCCAAGCCGACTTTACTTACCTCACTTATCACCGTTCTTGCAAGGCATGCAGTGACATCAAGCTGCATAGAAGCCGACGCCTCGGGTGTAAAAGCCTGCAAAGAGAGAGAAGCGAAGACACTCCAGGCCCAGCACCACTTGGCCAGCCTCACCCGAGAGCGTGATTTGCTGATAGACTGCCAGCGGCTGAGTCTGGCTGCGTTGCGGCCGCGTTGCGGACGCGTTGCGGACGCGGGACCTGACTCTCTTGGGCGCCAAGGCGTTCAGGAGCTGCTCTTGCTTACTTCAGACGGGCAGGACGCGCAAAGCATCCTAAAGTCTTAACGCTTCCTTTCCTCGTGTGCGCACTTTCATTCTAGACCAAATGTGGTGAACACCACATCCTGGCAGGACCTCGCGAATCGGCATTGTGCCCCTTTGAAAGCGCGGGTTGCATGGCAAAGCAGAGGCGCAGTCTTGTGATTGCCGACCTGGGTAGTTCTCCAAGCTAGGGCTTGAAAAGCAGGTTCAGGGGTCCTGATATGCCTCCAGAGACCCCCCAACCGGAGTTTTGGGTACCCTGGGTAGTTTAGATAGCCACCCGCTTGGTAGAGCAGGTGCGATGTGCTTGTTCTTTCTGTTGCTTTGTTTTGTGGAGTTCACCGGCTGCATGTCATTCATGGATCAGATGCCGATCCGAATGAACCGGTAGCCAAAGACGTCGTGTCCTCAGATGATGCGCTCGCAGAGTCAGATGGGTTAGCGCTGCAAACTCAGGTTGCCACCGGAGGAGCCGCCGAGTGGAAAAGTGTGAAGACGACAGAGTTCTGGAGAGAATTTGCGAGGATCTCAATCTTGGGCCACGCCTCGTTCGCAATCTGCGAGGCACAATGCATGATGGCTTTCCGCGACTTTGGCAAGAAGCCTTTGTTGTGCTTGGTAGGAATGGCAACTCTGCCCGAGCGCCCGGCTTGGTGCCATTTGGTACTCTTGGTCCTAGAAGCGTCATTGAGATGCCACCATGGGCTCCTTGTGGCCCAGGGCTTTCTGAAAGCTCCGCAAGATTCGAGGAGGGTTCGCTTTGATGACAAGCTTCAGGACCTCTGGGCAGCTAAAAGGATTGAGAAGCACCTAGGCCCCTTGCCAAGCCTAAGCGTGGGGCTTTGCTTTGCTATGCTGAAAGCAACGAATGAAGAACAAGTCGGATCATGTCGGATCACGACAAGTACTGACTGACAAGCCCAGAACCACTGGCACATTCTCATAGCGCGAGTGTGTCGGAGCAAGTCGGTGAGTATGTTTGACAGGAGTCGCCCAGAGTCCCACGGCAGCCGCCAGACAGGCAAGCGAGCACATCGCTGCACAAGTCCGAATAATGCAAGATCCTCGCTTGGAAGCTGCAAGAACCGGCTGTCTGCACAGGTACAGCGCTTGCTCGTTGTTTCAGCCTCAGGTTCCTTAATGCACGCATCGGGGCAGACGCTTCGAGATCGAGGCATCGTAATCCAATCCTGAAGCATCGCCCGACCTCAGTCGGACCCCCAGAGAGACTGCCCCTTTTCCTGCCACGTCTCTGGTCCGGCATCGGTTGGTTGAGCTTGCGCAGCCTTCTCACTTTGGTCCCGGTGTTGCAGTTCTAACCAGTCGAGAGTACGATCAGAAGGGCATCTTACAAAACTGAGGCAAGCACTGGCACCGGGGCCTCTGCAGTGGACACAAGGACGAGAGGAGATCCCCCACCAGTTCTCTCCTCCGTGCCACTGCTGCAAGGAGATCCGAGCACAGCGCAGAGCATGAGGACGCTCTTCGTTGCTCCTGCTCCTGAAGCCTGGGCGGCAGCATGCCCATGGCCAGGCGATGCAGCAAGACGGGGTGGTCACAGATGAGCCCGATGCAAAGCGAGAACTCCAGCCCGGCGAGGGTTCGAAGTGCCCTAGCTCAAAGGACGTCCAGACTCGGCACAGCGCAGAGGCAACAGTGTAAGTGTAAGTGCAAGTTATTTTCAGAGTGCAAAGCTGCAAAGCAATACCGCGGCGAGTGGAGCTTTCACGGGAGGCTTGCGCTGCTGCGTTGCAAGAGCCACTGGCAATGACACCACACGTGCATGGGCACTGTGGGCAGCGTGTGGTCGTGTCACGCGCTCGGACATCTTGAGTTGCAGTGTCGTGCTACTAGAATCTAGAAGTCGTAGAAGAAGGAGTTACAGACTGCACAACGAGGCAGTCTGGGTGGCAACCTGGGCGGCTCGGCAATCTCGAAGTCGAGAGCGAACATGCCAGTCCATGCAGTTTTGAGATGTCAGATGATTCAGATGTGGTGACCGCTGTGCATCAAGCCACTGGCAGTCCCCAGCGCTCGCTGCAGCCGTGTCCATGGCCTCCCGGAGGCGGGGAGCATCGTTAGATACGTTGCCGCCGTGGTCGCTCGATGTCGCTCGATGTCGCTGGGTGCAAGAGCATTTGTGTGCTCCACGCAAGGTGCTGTGCAACAAGGCAGGGTCCCCAGATGAAAGTACAGAGAACTGAGAGAACAGACATGTGCGGCCAGCAGCAGGCAGCCCCGGGCGAGTTCACTATTGGGCTGAAGGACAGCCAGATTCCGCATCCTTCCTGATATGAGCGACGTAGTCATCGGTGTGGAAGGAAAAGCCTTTGCGCAGCCTCCGCCTGCTGCCACACACTGAGCTAGACAGCAGTCCGCCATGTTGAACTCAGCTTGCAGTTTGAAGCAGGCCATTTGTCGAGTGCTTGAAACGGAGGTTAGTGCACCGCGGCATGGGTATCCCATCAGGCCTGCTGGGCAGGCTTCATGATCGCCTGATGTTGCCTGATAATGCTTAGCTCCGCCACCGGCTGTATGGTAGTATGACAACGATGATGGCCGGATGAGTCCAGTTGGCACGGCGGTGGCGAAAACAGTGAGATTCTCAACATCTTGTTGTGACAGGCTTGCTGTAATTGCAGCACGTCATCTACCCTTGGTGCGTGTTCAGTTATTGCACCAGAGCCTGTCAGTCCATCGCCGACCAAGTTGGCCCAGATTGAGTCCACAACCCTTAGTGTTTTTGTCAGAGAGCCGGTTTTCCCTCCCGAGAGTTTTGGGTTCTCAAGAGTTCTAGAGTAAATTGTTCTTGGAGCTTGCAGGGCAGCCACAAATCTTGTCCCAAACTGAAGTTTCATCAGTCCAAAAGGCCTTTGCGGCCGAAATGTCGAGAGGTCAACTGAACAGTTCCAGATGTTTTGAAAGTTCCCCAACGTTGAACAGTTAAACTTCTGAAGGTTCTACCAGCTTCATAAGTTCTAAGAACCGCACGCCAAGCAAAATTCCCACACGTCCCAACTGCAGCGAACCGCTCTGTACAAGTAGCCTGGGTGCCAGGGCCTGCAGCAGGCGTTCTTTTGGACAGCAGCCTCGCTGAGTTCCTGATTCGGCACTACCTTGACCTAGCGAGTCGTCTAGCGAGTCGTCTAGCTTTCATGACCCCGATCTTAAGTTACTCATCTGTTGTTGTGTGAGTCATACATGTTGCATGTGTTGTTCGCCGTTTTTGGCTTCATGGGAGCAATTAATGCAGTAGTAGCATATGAAACGCGCATGTCTGCCAAGAGTTTGCCTAAACAAGCCGCAGCACCCATATGCCCGAAACATGTGCAGGATGTGCAGAGAACATGATGACCCCCCCCCCCCCCCCCCCCCCAAGATGTTTTTGGAAGCCTGTGCCATCTGCCATTGACTTTGGGCCCGGTCCCTGCCACAGGCAAGATAGCGACATGTTACTGTCCCACTGAATTTGTAAAAAGCTCCTCATACAGAAAGGTGCAAGGTTTAGGCCTGCCCAATGAGTCTCAACGCCAGGAAGCTGTGCAAGCTTCCATGCAGCTGGCTCACACCCAGGCTGCAGATGAGATGCGTTGACACACCTTGTTTGTCAGGGGAGTGCGCGGGAAAACGATCATGAGATGGATTCTTGAATAACATCTTACCGTGGTCTGCTTTCCTTTGTACGCAACATGTTAAGAGGCGGCATGCATGTGAGTGGGAGAAAACCCCCAGGTGACCAGGTGTGAACATCACAATGCCAAGCCCACGCTCGACGCCTGACGGAGCCAGGCTGTTGGACTTGATCCTGAAATCAAGCTTGAACAGCTTGTTCATGAGTCGCACAACTCGCTGGAGGAGTGGTGTTGATCTTGATGAGACGCAGGAGGCAAGAACATGAGATCATGTAGGGCTCCATGCAGATCTGATGCATATCAACTGCTCAGGATCCAGAATGGGTAGCTCCAGTCGCCCAAGAGATTCCCAAGGCGACATGCTGCATGATTGCAGACGCGGTCATGACATGGCAAGATTGATCTTCCTGTCAGGGGGCTTGTTCGGCAGAGTGAAGACAGCATCACCAGCCATATCTGTGATAAACAGACCTCGACCAAGTAGACTAAGGCTTGGAAGCAGCAAGCGTGATCAGCATGCATCCACAGAGGGGTGGCATTGTTCCTTTGAGCCTCATGAAGCCATGCGCTGTGTCCACCCTCCGTTGCGTGCAACGGCCAAAGGGTGGGGCCATCCACGGCCGTCATCGCGGCCGCCACGGCCGGCGCGGCCTGGCCTTTTCAGTCTCGTTGGTGGCTTCACGCCGAAGAGTGTCTTCTTGCTTTCGTGCTGCGGAGCTTGGACGTGGCAGCGGCTCTCGCCGGTGGCCGTGGGAGGCTCATGGAGGGCCCACGGGATGTCACGTCAAAGGAATGATTAGAATGGCGTGTTTAGGCGTTTGTCCCCCAGCTGGAAAAAATTTGGCGCGCGAGAGGAGTGCAGACAAAGCGACGGCGGGAGCAGATGGAGCAGGTGGAGCAGGTGGAGCAGGGTCCGGAGAGGCAAAGCCCAGATCTCGAAGATCTCGATCTTGAGGACGTGGAAACCTTGAGGCGGGGGTCCGAATTGTCGTAGGATTTCGTAGAATCTTTGAGGTCGGGTGACTGCTGAGGCAACTGTTCCAGTCTGCACTGGCGGTTGGCAGCACAGGCCTTGAGAAGGAGGAGTTTGCTCTTCTTTGCCAGTCCCTTTTGCACATAGATCTGAGTTATCTAGAGCTCGAGCGCATCTTCGAGCTGGTGGTTACAACTGAAGGGCGCGAGGTCATGACGGAAGATCACTTCGTGCGTACGATTCGGCACCGCTTCTTCCTGCGGGGCATCCGACGGGTCGTGCAGCTTCCAGACTCCGACTCAGGCTCAGACGACCTCCCGCCCACTTACGACCTGGACATGGAGACAGCAGAGAACCATCGCTCTGACGCCTGCCAATACAAAGCCCATACAACTACAAGAGCTGGGTTCCATACATGTTCGAGTTCAACCGTTCAACCTAGGTTGGGAACCCTAAATGCTTCCTCTTATAGAAACATCCAGTCCCTCGCCTGAATTGAGGACACCGCTCCTTTTGTCGGTCCCTACGCAGAGATCCGAGAAGCTGGACTTGCACACGAGAAACGAAGATTCTATACTGGGTTTTTAGGGCCTCTGAACCTTTTCCAGGGCCCTTCTTCCGTGCTGAGGCAACGCGCGATCACCGCTACCATGGCCGCTACACGGTTGATCGCCAGACCTGGCAAGACAGCGTGATTGACACCGTTGTTCAGCGAACAACTGCGCAGGCTCGTCCAAGACTGGTTTTCACTTGCGGGGCCATGGGTGTTGGCAAAGGCTATGCGCTGGCCTGGATGTCCCGGAAAGGTATCTTCCCGCTGGAAGATATTGTGCACATCGATCCGGATCACTTCAAGCAAGTGATGCCCGAATGGCAGGCATACCTACAGTATGGACGCAAACATGGGGATCCCGACATACCCGGGAACCGCTGCCATCGCGAGAGCTGCTACATGCAAGAGATTGCATTAGAGGACAGGGCATGGTCGATGAATCATTTTATTTGCATCACTTTAGCATCTTCAGCCTTACGGCGTGCAGCAACTCCAGCCACTAGCCAACTTTGCGAGACTTTGCCGCTGAGGAGTCCCTGCGGCGGTCGCAGCACATCTGGGTTGATGGTTCTCTGCGCCCCTAGGATCGATATTCCGGCATGTCTTGGGGTAGATTTTCCGGCATTTGGCTCTCTGTGCACATTGTTGGAATAGAAATGGGCGTGTTCATCTACGATCGTCGGCGCATCTCAGGCAATGCTGAGTGGTTTGTCAAAGTGTTCAGCGACATCCGCTTGCGCTACCCAGCGTATCAGATTGCGATTTTCAAGGTCACGGCGCCGGCAGCCTCCTCAGCTGATTCCAGCAGCATTGAATGGCAAAGGCACGGCATGAGAAGTGTGTAGAAGAGCAAGAAAACTTGTGCCAGGAAGAGATTATCCGCAAGAGGGTTGCAGACAGGGCCAAGCAAACTGGCCGCAGCATTCCCGAGACGATGCTGGTGGCGAGCATTGAGGCTGTTGAAAGGCCGCCCCGAGTTCTGCCCACGGGAGAAGACAGAACAGCACCGTAATGTGAAGTCCTTGTGTCAACTTGTGTCAGCAGCTCGTATGTGGACGTAGGCGAAGCCCTGAGGTCTGTGCTGACGTTGACTCCCCATGCGGATTTCTTGGCCAGTATTGACAACTCAGAATGTACGCCACAACTGCAGTATTTCGCGGCAGTCGACCGCTCCGGCGACTGGCAACGTATTGCGACGCGATTCGCTCATGTCTTGCCGGCAACGGACGCGTTTCCAAAACAGCTGTCCCCATTCTTTGTGTCACAACTGGAAGATTGCCCAAAGTTGGAGCTCCAGGAGCCTCTGGCCTTTGGCATTGACGGCATGCACAGATGCCAAAATGCCACATTGATCATGCGGGGCTCGAGATTTGAAGTGAAGCTCTCTCCGACGATCCGCGTGACCCTGGATCCCGAGACACGTCGAGTCGCGAATATTCACAAAGATGCCGTGGCCGTGGCGTACCTCCACCCGCTGTCAAGCACGTTCGAGGGGTCTGAAGCAGAGCTCACATATGCTGAACGCCAGGTCTTGAGATTGGGAGCGTTTGCCAACTTCAATCTGGAAGATCAGCTTGTAGCCCTGAATTCTGTGGCCTCCACGACGGATCAACGTCAGCCTGCTCTTCTGGAGCCCATGTGCAGCTTCAGTTTGGTGTCGATATAGGCATGATATAGGTTGCGTCGGAAGTTGGTCGTGGGGTCGGGGAATTAGGCCCAACGGGACGGCCCAACTAGGCTCGTGAGCGTCGTTCACGACTGCAGGGGTTTCTTTTGGGGTGTTAAGTTTGTCCGTCCGCGGCTCAACTTCTTTGGCTGCGTCTTTGCTCGCAGCCAGGAGTTTGGCTCCGCATACCCGGTGTCCGAAGAAGAGGCTGCGTCTCTACCAGCAAACAGGTGGGCCCCAGTTACGCTTCAGCACATGAGGGAGGCTGGTGGCCGAAGGTTTGCATTCCTAACGCCGCTTGAGAAGTTGGCCAACCGCCGGGTGAGCGCAAACAGCGGCTTCTTGTTCGAGATCCTTTTGGACGGCGAGATCTCGCACCTTTTCTTTCCTGTCATATCTTCATTTAGCTAAAGTGCTATTTGAACGCTTGTGCCAAGTTTCCAAGAAGGAGAACTGCACTGCACAGCAGGTTTCGTTTCACAGATATATGTTTCGGAACAGAAAAGGCAACGATGCAGTTTCCTGCAGTCTCAGATTTGTGCAGCTTCTGGCTGCTGCCTGCATGACAGATGCATACCCTAAGAACTCTTTCGGGGCACATCGCCGTTACGATCTTGCGACGGCCAAAGGCTGCAACACCTTCCTCGATAGGGACGTTCGAAGACGCTAGCGGCAGTCCCTCAGACTGCAGTCCTGAAGTGTGGCCAGCTCCTTGTAATAGTGATGTTTATGGTCTCGGTGCCACTATATTTGGGGAACTACCAGTAGCAGGATGACGTAGGATGAAGCTTGTGCTATGCCAGCAGTGTCCAGCGAAGGCATAGCATCTCGCTCACCATCTTACAAAGTGGATCACATCGGGCGGACCGTGAAGTCCACAAAGCTGCGCCATGCCTGGACATTGTTTCTCGGTGGTGTCGAGACCAAGGTGGAGCTGGAGCACAGCCGCCTCACAGGCAAAAAGAAGGTGCTCGTTGATGGGAAGCTGCTTTTCTCGACGACCGACAAGCACCTGAACTGGTGTTGGGAGCACCCGGAATCGAAAGCTCGAATCGGCTTGAACTCCGAGAATGGAAAGCACGTCCTAAGATGTGAAGAGCCCGAGGTGAAGACCTTGTCTAAAGATGCCGAAGGAAATTCTGCCCAGTTAGACGAGCTATCTTCAGCTGCCAGCTTCGAAGCCGGCACCTGCAATTCTGAGACTTTGCCGGAGGAAGGTTGCACGGACGGTGCAGTGCACGAGGACGCAGAGTATGAAGTGTTCTCCTCGGGATTCTCGGACAGCCCTATCAGACAAGACCTCGCAAGAAAGTATGCAACTTGCGAGAATGACCTGCAGGACCGGCATGCACTTCCCATGTGGGTCCATGTCACACGCCCAAACGGTTCAACTTGTCCAGCACCTGGTGCGGCACGTGCGTGCCCTCCCTCTGGGCTACTATGCACTAGTATCATCTGCCACCGCTTGGCTCGACATCCTTTCTTAAACATAGAACACGTAGAAGGCACATTTTACTTGCCGCAGTACTCGAACACACCATAGTCCATCAGGGATATGTGAGGACTGCGAGATGTGTTCCCTTTTAAGTAGGAGACGTGGGCAACAGGACTATGACGCAGAGATAGCCGAGGAAGCCAAACCTTCCATACCGTGCAGGTCTCAGTTCTCTCAGAAGGAGACGCTACGCTTTCCCTTGACCTGTGGTACACGCTGTTCAAAGCTGACAAATCTTGAGTCCTCGAGGTCGTACCTTGTGACGCGGCCTCAACGCAAAGTAGCCCTTCAGGCCAGCAGCCCGGTACAGTCTTTGAAGCTGGTTCAATCTACCTGGTTCAGTCAACCTCTGTGGATACCAGCAGCTTCTGAATCCGCAGACAAAGCCAGGAGATCTCGGCAGAAACAGCGCGCTTAAACGCGCTGCTCGGTGTCAAGGATGCGCAGATAGTTCCAAACCCAGCGCGCCCAGCATTCTTAAGTGAGAATCGTGGCACGAGTGCCAGTTCTTTCCCCTAAGGCCGCTTTGCAAGACGAGCTGCGCAGGTGTGCTTTGGGAAGAGAGGCTCCTGCCCAAATGCATCCAAACCATTGGAAAGCTCGGGCACCACGAAGACCCTGCTCCGCTTTTCTGATTCTGCAGGAGGCTAGCGGACCCATGGTCGAGGCAGTGTCCAGCACTCAAGCCATACTCATACTCAGACCATACTGAAGCCACGGCCCTGAATTCGTGCAAAGACCTCGGTTTCAAGAGTGAGGCCAACCGAAGCTGTGGAGACAGAGCCCATCAGCCCCATTCAGCAGCTGGAGGCCTGCCATATTCTGGGGGCAAACATGCGCCATCATGCGCCCAAGACCCTCAAGCAACATGGTTGGACTGCTCCCAGAGGGGCCATCCCCTCAGCTGCCGCCGCCGCAACTGGTCGCCAGTGTACCCTCAGAGCACTTCCTGGTCTGTCGCCAAGTCTGTGGCATAGTGGCATACAGCACAGACAGCCCCCACATTTCTGCATCCTTGCCGCAGAGAGTGGTGTCGAGCAATTGCAGAGCCAGCTATGTGAAACGCAGACTTTTCCAGGTTGCAGAGCTGCCAACGACTCCAGTCCCATATCCAAAGGCCAGTGCTGTTTGGCTCAGAGAATCTTAGCGCATATTGCTCGTTTGGGTTCAATGGGGGGCCTCATGACAGGTGACCAGTGGAGATTCACCTGGTTCAGATGCTCAGGGTCGAACTGTGATGGCCATGCATTGATTCTTATTTTCGAAAATATCTGAGAGCTCAGGTGGGCGGAAGCTTCTCTCGCCACCCGTCTGCTCCCCGGCCACCACAGCGCCACTGCATCATTACGTGTCATACAGGACATGGCAGGGCAGGGTGTGATGCAGCGATGCATGGTGACGCGGTCTGCAAGGCCCTGTCGGCTGTCAGTCCTCTGGACGAAGAGGTGACGTGGGATTGCGATTGCGACGGGCTTCAATGGGTTGCTGTGCGTTTTCGGTTTTCTTGTCGGCGCGTGTAGGTCCGTAGGTCTCTCGAGAACGCAGGAACTGGATGTGACACGGCGCCGTGGGCCTGCTCACTTCACCCCTCCGGTTCCTGGTGGGCCGCTGAGTTCCTGACATTTTCTGGCCTCTTGTTGAGAGGACGCATGGGTTGGAGCATGCGAAGAGCGCAAACCGTAAACCCAAGGTCCACAAGTTGCACGGCCGAGCCCCTGTATGACTCCGCCGCCACAGCTGGATGCAAAGCATTTGAGGGTGCACAGAATTTGGGTGCGATGGCGCCAGCTCTTGCCGGAGCTGAAGCAGTTTCGTGAGGCCATCGCCATTCGTGGTCCAGCGCTACGTCTCCACGCCGCGACGGTGCGCAGGAGCGGCGCAGGCACTGTCACGAAGTATAGTGACCTCAATAGGCTTCGGTGGCTTCAAGCTTCAGTGTGTGAGAAGCCATGCTTCTCAGGCTGAAGCGATGGACCCCAATGGTGCAGAACATGCTCGAGGCGGCTTTGTTAGAAGATTGGCATATATATATATATATATATATATATGGGCAGCAGGCTCTAAATGATCCGCAACGCAGTTGGCTCACGATTCAGATTTCGGATTTCTCCATTCTTTATCGGAAAATCGTAGGTTGATGAAGTGACGAATCGCGCTGTCGCCCACATCCCGCACGCATTTCATGCTCGAAATCGAGCTCCCGACTCGGTGCCGCGTACTTTTCGCGCAGGGAGGTATTTTTCTGCCCTGCTCTTGGACGGCTTCGCTTCGCGCATCTCTCTTCTACGGCGATGTTCATGCCATGGTGTTCACAGTCCGGGCGTCATCCCCGGGCCACGAACTTCGCATAATTGCCTGTATATCCTGTATCATTGTCAATAGGGGTATCCCCTATAATTTTAGCGGTTCTTCCCTCGATAGCGGATAGCGATACTAAAAAGGGTGCAACATTACTTTTCTCTCCGGAAGCCGAGCTTCCGTCTTGTCAGACGGGAGCGAATCTTCTTGACGCCTCTTGCAAAACAGTGCGCGGGCTTGGACAAGCATGGTGTGCCAGGGCGGGCTGGCAGCATGCCGCCCTGTGTGCACTGGGCGTCTCCTGGGCCACCCTGGTATGGTGCCAAGTTGATGCACCACGCATGCCGCAGGAGGGGAGGCATGTCCTCGATCGTCTTGGCGAGGTGTCTCGAGCCGAACCCCCGTTCCTCCGGAAGGCACGAACGAAGCTCGGTTCCTCCACCGCGGCACGGATGCAGAAGAGCATGATTTGCAGCATCACCATGCCTTCAAACAGGTTGCTTCCAAAAAGTAGCTATTAACTCCGTACACAACCTAAGGAATGCCCGGAGCCTCTCCGTGCAGCCGCGACCCTGCTGGAGCCTGCCTGAGCCCGTCATCTCATAACACAGCTTTTTGCTATGTTCGTCAACAAAGGAGCCGCACGCCTGGTCCTGCATCTCGGTCGATAACGCCGCGACGAGATGCGCGGCAGGCACGAATGAGCAGTCACTGTACACAGTGTCGCAACCTTGACAGGGTTGATCTAAAGTTCCTTGTCCTTTTTTTGTGGAACGAACGCTCGCTTGCTCGAAAGCTGCATCGCTGTGCCCATATAACAAGTAGATTCCCGAAGCACTTGCATAGCCTTTGCAGTCCTTGCGTGGCCAGTTCTTTCCATTTGCCACAGGTGCCACAAGGCACAAGGTTCTCTCTGTAAATCTATTTGTTTCGTATGAATGAAGCGAGAGAAGCAGCTCCCTCAAAGTCATGGGAAGTCGAACAAGGGCCTGGCCCGTGGCCCCTGGGGAAAAAACCAAGAACTTTCCTCTGCTTTGCTTCGAAGCTTTTCGTCATGTTGGAGTTCAGCTAGGATCAGTAGGATCAGTGCCCTGTCTCAGGTACAGGCGCCGGTCTTTCACATGCCGCGAGCCACAGCAATCGTAGCCGCCTGCAAGCCGCAACACAGTCATTCCGACGGCAGACTCTCAGATTCTGAGGCCACAGGCTGGAATGGCGCCCGGACTACGAGGCTCGCAGCGTTGAGACGCAAGACCTCTCGACCCCTCAAAACAAGTGACAGTCTGGTCCCCTTCGCAACTCTGTGACGTCGAACGGTCAACGGGGTAAACAGATTCAGGTTGCCCACCGCCCTGGCAGCCAGCACCTGATCAGAGAGCGCGCAACGTTTGCCTGAGATGGTTATGGCGCCGTGTCAAGGCTCCTTCCACAGTGGCCACAGGGTCCCAAGGCGTGCAAGCCCCAGGAAGGTGCTTTTGCAAGGCCTTTGGCGAAAGGTCACGTTTGGGGAGATGTTTAGGGAGACCGTATGGGAGACCTGAGGTCCGGCCTCCATCCTGGCTCCATGTTGCCGCCGGCCTGGCCCAGAGAACTTCTCTACTCTCAGTCGCTTTCAAGCTCAGTTCCGTGCCTGACGTGAGGTCATGTCCGAACCTTAAAGAAACTCGCTCAGTCTTCCCAAAAGCATCAAATATGAGCTGCCAGAAGCATATTCTTAACTCCGCATTGTTGGTTCAGCCTCGTGAGAGTTAGCAAATGTATAGCTGTCGCGGACGCCACTTTCGATGGCGTGATTCTTCACCGTTTCTTCCTGTTTGCTTTGCATCGTGCCGGGTTTCTTGGTTTTTTGCCCTTAGTCCTTGTACTGCCATGGGTTTGTTCGTTTCTCGTGAAGACCTGCAACAAAAATCAGGGGGCGCTTCTAGCTGTCCATTTCAGCAGCATGCTGATACATGATCAGGGCTTCCAGCTGAGGTGTTTTTCCCTTCCCACGTTCCCGGACCACTTGCAGGCAGGGCTTGCTTTGTGTTGCTTTGTGTTGCTTTGCTTCCGTCAAATTGACCTCAGGTCCGGTCCCGATGCTGGCTCATCCGCCAGTGGTGCAGCCGTGCAGGCGTAGAATCGCTCGCGAGACTGTCAGCCGCGGATCTAGTCGGTATGATTAGGTACGCCTGCCCAATGTCTGAAGTCTGGAGCACATTCGCCTGGCGTGCAGAATCTGCAGGCTGAACCAACCGGCTAGTGTGGCAGCCGGGATGGCGCCAGACTTGAGGCCAGGCAGACATCAGCAGACAAATCAAAGCCAGCGCACAGAGTTCACGGAAGTTCACGGAAGTTCATAGAAGCAACTATGTTTGTCAGGCTGATGGCGCAGCCCAGACCTGTACATTTGTAGCATTGTAGCCATAGTGGGCTGATCTGAAGCCGATCTGTAATTCGATGCATTAGAGCTGGACACTCTAAAGTGTGTTCAGTGAAGCCTTACGCCACGTAGCGACCGCAGATGCCGGTGAGGAATTTGCGAACAGCAAAATCCCTACATGTTGCTGAAGGTGGTAGTGGTCCACAGTCAGGATCGACGGTTGTGCGTTTCGCAGTGCTGGGATTGGCTCAGGCGGCTCAGGCGCCAAGCAAGCTGCTTTCGATGACCGCGCTATCGGGCATGGCCCCAGATGAGCTTGTTTGCGGAGTTGGTGGAGGAAGGGGAGGATGCGGAAGGACTGGTTCTTGGACAAGAGGTGACGCTGCAGGATCTGGAAGAGGCCTTGGCCGAGCTCGCAGCCCAGAACGAGCAGCTCGAAGTGGATTGCCGCGGTCTGGAGGCTCACTGTCGTGACTTGGAGCGTGCAGGCTGGCCAGTGCCATGCAAGTTGGAAGATGTGATCCTGGCATCGGAGACAGCTGTCGAAGAGGTGCCTGAACCTCCAACGGTACTCTCGGATCACGTGTCGGTCGTTGTGGCAGCAGAGGCTGCTGCCAAAGCTGCTTTGGAAGCTGACAAATCCCCGGAAGACGCCGCGGCACAAATTGGAACAGCGCTGGCGAGCGAGTCAGGAATGGAACAGTGTCGATTTGAGGAGCTGGCGTCGCCAGTGATTAGTCGCACAGTGTCGGGCTTGTTTTGTGATGTTGCTGGAGATGCACCGTCAATGGCAGCCCAAGCAGCGGCCAAAGCAGCCATCACTGCTGGATTGAATGCTGAAGCTGCTGCTGTTGCCGGGTTCGTTGCTGCAGGTACGGGTGCTTGATGTTAGGCTCAATGAATCTCAATCAAGCAGCTAAGTAGGCTCTGGCATCTTGCCTTGCCGGAGGAATGGTCGCGGGAAAGCGTGCCCTACAAGACGGAGGGGATCTGAGCAGGTCAGCTGATCTGGGGTCGAAGACGGCCTTGGAACTTGCCACAGCTGGAGGCCTTCGGAACTTTGGGCTGCCGATCACACAGTTCCGTGTGTCGGATGGAAAGCGTTGTGTTCCCAACCGCGCAGGTCTTTCCGAAGAAGCTGCTACCCGAGTCGCGGCGCAGACAGCCAGTGAGATTGCCAGTGATGCGTCCCGCACTGCTGGCAAGATTTTTGTCACTGGGACGCACAAAGGTTTAGGCGCATACATGGTGGAGTTTCACGACGGTGTCGATGTCAAATTTTGGTGCCAGTAATTAATTGCCAGACGATGTCTGCTCGCCGGTGGTAGCGGAATATTGCACAACTTTTCTGTGGAATTGTTGTTTTATAGGTGTCAGGTAAGCTTCTGCAGCAGGGTGAACCCTGCTGCCAGCTGTTTGTATCCATGGTCATTCGATGTTTTTCATTCATGTTTTACGAGTGAAAACGCCCAGAGAAGCACTGTGCAGAGGAACAGTTTCATAGGCGTTCATTCGTTGTAAATGCATGGCACTGAGCTAAGGAAAGGGTGGTCGAAGATGCTGCTGAAGCAGCCAAAAGTGCGGCCGGGTCAGCTTCATCCAGTTTGTCGACACGCCTTGGTGTAGAGGCAGCTGGGCGAGCAGCGGCGAACACCGCACCCCAGCAGCGCATTGGCACTTGCCTGTGCAGAACATGCAAGATGTAGTTGGTATTGACGGGTATGCGCTTTCAGCGGTACATGCAGTATTTTCCATCAAGCCGGAGGGGAAGCAGATGTAAGCAGTATCACGTTCCGCCCCCTCCCCCCGGTTAATGGAGACCCCCTGGTTCTTGACATCGCTTTGAGAGCACTTGAGGTTGCATTGCAAGCGCCCGCACTAGACGCCGCCCAGATTGCGAGGCATGCCAGCAGTCCCAAGGCTGAATTGATGTACAGCCGGATGAAAATCGCTCAAACAAAAGCTCTGAGGTGCAGTCGCGGCCATTACTCGCGAGGCCATCCCTGGCGCAGAGGATGAGGTGGTCGCAGAGGTGAACAGTGGCCTGACTGCAGAAGCCTGCGCAGGTCTACACAGTGTGCTCTAGTCAAGACATGTGGGCCAGGAGCCGCTGCCCGCGTCGTAGAGGAAGCAATCGCCGCGGTCATCGTAAAGGCGGAGAGCAAAGCATCTCGACCTTGAATTCTGGGAAGGTAGCAGCTGCAATATGCTGCAATATGCTGCAATCATTGCTGAGCCTTGAGCTCAGGCACCTCACGTCGCAGAATCACCGCAATCACCGCAATCACCGCAACAGACAAATGCATCAGATCAAGACGACAGGGTGAAGGAGTTGCTCAAGGCGCGCAGCTGGACTGCAAAGAGATGAAAGGCAGTGACTATCAGTGACTTAGTTGACACGCGAACAAGCCTCAAGGTCAGGATGCTGTGGGTGTCGTTGTCCCAAGGTGAGAAGTCCTTCGCAGCCATGGCCGACATGCAGGAACGCTGCGCTGGCCAGCAGACGGATGCCTGCCAGTACAATTGGAGTACACGTCTGCACCGCTTAGAGTTGTTCCAGATATGAACACAACTGATGTTTAAAGCCTTGATCGAGCATGATCGCTGCAAAAGCTGCGAGAAGCTGTGAAGTGTGAAAGGAAATGGAGCGATTGGTGCGGGAACGTGCGGGTGATCAAGAGGAGCTGCTGAAGCTTCGTCAACAGCTTCGGGGCCTGGAACAGCAACTGCCAGATGCCCAGGGAGCATGGAAAGCAACGGTTGAGCAAAAAGCGCTTTGAGGGCCAAACAAGAATGCGAGCGCAGGCAAGAAGCTGAAGCCCGGGTTGGGCCCCAAGCCGAAGCATCATTGCTTGGCGTACCTGACTCGTCATTTTTCGTCAACGCGTCTGAGGAGCAACTGCAGGAAGAGAATCGGATGGACAGTTTGAGCGCCACGACGGGCGATGACACGTCATCTCTGGCAGACAGCTTGGCGGGGAACCTTGGTTGTACATGGTTGTTATCTGTGCAACACGTGTGCAACAAAGGCCGGGGCTTCAACCATTTAACCGTTGGCTGCCCGAGGAGTGTGCGCAGAATGCGCAAGAAGAGAAATGCACGTGCAGGGCAAGCCTTTCGACAAGCAAAGTGCTTGGACGAAGGCATCGACATAGGCACAACGGAGGCAGCCACTTGGCCGAGAGTTGACGTTAATGGGCTTGCAAGACAGGGCCAGCGTTTTTGCCTTGTGAGCCTTGTGAGCCTGTGAGGATGTTGATCCAGAAGAAAGGCTGATTCGCACTTTGGTTGCCAAGTCGCACGCAACTCATCCGCACTACTTAACAGCAGGGGGAGGGGGGGATCTAGTCCTCTTTGCCTGATTGAGCTAGTGCCGATGCCAAGCTTGAATCAAATATCTGCGTGTCACGCACACCGTCGCACAGGCATCGCCGCTCTGGCGAGACTTGTGCCTTGGAGCAAGATCAGATCGTTCTGTCTCGATGGCATCTCATCTTGCAGAGCTGACAGAGGGCTTCGCATGAAGTTGTTTGCAGGCTCATCTTCATCCTGGAGAAATCGGGACATGCAACTTTAAGCCCCACGTCGTCTGACGCGGATGTAAAGAAGGAGCTGCAGCTCATGGCTTACCAAGTGAAGGAAAGGTGTCTCGGCATGTCTTGGGGCGCTTTGTGGCTAGTGGGAGTCCAATTCCCATAACACGTGCGGGCCTGGCAGCGTGGTTTCCGCATGTTTCCGCCCCGAAGTCTGAGGTTGGGCTCGCTCCAGGCCCCAGTGCAGTCACAGGAGGGCATGCTGGAAACCATGCTCAAGACGGTCGGGAAAGTCACTGACCAGGCAAGTTCTCAGGATTCTAAGGTTCTCTTTTCCGACAGGGGCCCTTGGCCGTGCTTGTGTCTCACATGTGACACCAACTAACTTGTACTCGATGTCGTGGAACCAGTGCTGCATCGTACCAAAATCAGAGCAGCGGGCGGTATGGGTCACAGTAGTTCAGGGAGCCACTTAGGCTTCTCAGTTTGCTCCACCTGCAGCACTCCCCTGCCAGGCTGTGGATTCTGCCGTCTTGTATGTGACCCAGGATACACCCAAAGCAGCTCAAGATCCAGAGGTTCTCGTGCAGGCCTTCACCCGCGAGCAAACCCCGAGCCAAGATCCCGCCGCGATCTTAGTTGGAAGATGTATCCAGCATGGCAAAGAATGCGAAAGCTCCTGAGGCACAGGCAGGTGCCGACGCATTCAAGCAGAACGCTCGACTGAGACTCGCAGCACGCCGAAATCGCCAAAGGGGCAGCGTATTGAGTGGCCTGCCCGCCAGTAAGCCAGTGCCAGCACTATCAGCACTCCTCTGAGCTTCTTAGGTATTGTACACAGATCTAAGGTGTTGCCGCCTCTGTCTCCTCAAAGCCTGGTGGCTAAGCCAGGTCTGAGGCAGGCAAAGCTCGCGATGACGTGGATTGTAAGCAGGACATCGTATCGTGGCGGCCGCTTCATGCTGGACACCTTGGCGTTGGCGGGATCAACTCCGTGAGGATCCTTCAAGATCCTCCAAAAACTTTCAGGAACTCTCCAAGGAGTTGCCAGATGCTGACTGATCGGTCCGTGCCGCTGAACATTGCGATGGCTGGATCAGATTGAGCGGGAGCTGTCTCCAAAGCTACCTGGACTTGCCCAAGCACCTAGGTCCAAATGAAGGGGCGTGCTCGTGTGCAGGGCCTTGCTCCAGCACCAGCATCGCTAACCGACTGATGGCAAGGCCGTCTTTGATGCCCAGTGAGCTTGTGCGCGCACATGATGTGGAAATGACTCGGGACGAAAGCCGCGTGACTACATGTTGCACGGGAAGACTATCGCCAACGTTGCAGCTCAGCAAGTCTATAGCTGTATAGCTAGTACTGATGATCTGAGGTGCCGGCACGTACAGAGCTGTCAATCGAGGGCATCATGCATATTATTGGTCTCCTGTTGCCAATGTTTCACAAGGGTCGCCATGGAGACTCAATCATGCGTGCATCTTGCGCGGCTGTTGCCAATGTTTCGCAAGGGCGGCCATGGATACTCAATCATGCGTGCATCTTGCGCGGCTGTACTATGCAGCTGTATCGGGCTGTTTCCAGTTGTGCTTCCAGACCAGTTCAGACAAGTTTAAGTCGTTTAAGCCGTTTGAGCCCTTCAAGGCTTGAAGCAGGTAACGCAGTCTCAACACAAACCGGAAGCGCACGCAATATTTTTTTGCACATACAGAGACTCACAAGACGGATGGCAGCTGTAGCAGCACTGCAAAGCAGTGGCTGCTGGCTTTCACGTTCTTCGGATGCCTTCCAGAGATGATAATTATGCTGCTTGTCTAAGTATGTCTTGTGCCATGTTGTTCCTGGCTTGCACGCATGAGCCTCTGGCAACTGTAGAGGTGGATTGTGTGGTCTCGAGCCTCGCAACCCAGGACTTCATCAAAGTCATTGGCAAGGGCGCATTTGGAATCGTGGAGCTGTGGCAGCAGCGCTTCAGCGATGAGAAGTTGCTCGATTCTTTATGTAGTTGCCTGTGCACACGGCCACCGCTGGACTAGAAAAGATGTTGCGTGTGGCAAGATCGGCAAGATTCGGCAAGTGACGCGTGTGATCTTGTGAGGCTTGTTGCCGCAAAGCGAGCCTCGGCTGCGAAGTTGAATGCCCGGAATGCTGATTGCATT